GCAGAGGTGGCACACCTGGCAGCCTCATAGGAGCGACATATCGTCAACACATCCTTGAGAGAAGAGGAAGAGTCGAGGGAGGTGAGGCGTTGGACAAGTTCCTCGTCCTTAACACCCATCAGGATCACCAGCTTCAACTGGGTCTCCTCGCACTGCCGGTGGTTACCTGGACATATATCTACCTTTATCTACCTCTTCCGAGGCTCTCTTGAGTCGTGCATAAAAGGCGTCAAAAGTCTCACCCTCCATCTGTCTGCATCTAAACAATTCCCTCCTGCGCAGAGCTTCATTCCACTGCCGTTGTAGAATGTCCAGTACCTCCTCTACAGACAACGAAGAGGTCGGAGGTACCTGCAACGAATGTTCTACGACACGCTGAGTTTCCAAGGACAGGCACATACGCAGCTGGATGAGTTGTTTAGGCTGTGACAAACTCTGGAGATCCACCATTGTAGCATAATCAGTCCACCGTCGCCGCCATTCACGAAAAGTCTGGAAATTCACATCAGGCTTCAAGATGGGCGGTGTTTGAGCAGCTGCTTTAGGTGGGGCTGGTGGGCGTGAAGTAAGCATTGATGAGGTATCTGAACCAGTCAGTACCGAGGCAGTGTGAGAGCCAGGGGCTTGGTTAAAATTGAGGCGAGATATCAAAGCTTCAAACCGTGCACTGTCTTCCAATCTCCGTTGGTGGTCTCTCTCTGCTTCTGCTTGTCTTCTTTCTTCATACTCCACACGTCTGTTAGCTTCATCCTCGCACCTTTCATCCCGCATGAACTTCATTAAAGCAATTATCTCTGGAGACAACGCTGAATATCGAGGTGAAGGGCTGCGCGATGTGGTGGGAGCTGGAGCGTCATGGTCAGCCTGGTCATCCATCTCTGTAGAGCTGTCATCCGACTGACTCATCCGGGCGTTGCCTCCACGACTGCGTAAGGCACGAGACATAATTACTTAATCTGTGTACTGTGTCTTAAATCAGTGTTGACCGGTCAGCCCGTCGTATCAACAAGATCTCAGACAAAAAATTAATTAAATGCACAGATAAGTAGATTATATATATAAAATATATATAGAGGAATGGCCGCAGTCAGTGTGTTAGTACGTGTGTGTGTGTGTGTGTGTCCCGGGCAGTGAGAGCAGTCTCGCCATGAGGGGCCTCGAGCTGTGAGGGGGTGTGGAGACGATGACTCACATCAGTTACCCCCTGGACATGGCGAGAGGAGGATGAGAAAAACTTTACTCCTTAGAAATTCCCAGAGCATGCCTTTTACCTTGGGAATCCTTTAGAACAAGGTAACACATTTATGGCACTAAACACTTCACAGAAAATCACTGTCACTGACACTGCTCAAAGTTGCTATAAATTCTTGGAGGAGACGGCCATTAGCGGTGGTTGACACAGAGTAGGAGTCCATAAGCCGGTCTTGCCACAAACTTTACACTGTTACTTGTATAATTATCCAGTAAAATCGGTCCACTGCGCCATGTTCGGGTTCTGGGTATTAAGTTCTATCAACAGGAGCGAACACAAACACCTGGATAGTTTTCGTAGGTTCTATTTACTGGATAAGAGATATGTACACAAGGGGAGTAGCGCTCCTTACTCTGTCTGCTGGTCAGCTGCTCTCTAGGCGACGTATGGGAAGTGATACATTAACAGCTTCCATATGTCGCCAGGCACATTAATTAGGCATGTGGGACATTGATAAATACATTGCCACACGCTATTAGCTTGGCTAAAAAAATAATGTATATAAGTGGAGCACATACATAAAATATATACATAATATAAATACAGCATACAGAATATACATACAGTGAACAGCACTGTTCTTGGCACAGTATTGTAGTATGGTGGTCAACACCTTTTTTAGTACTGTAGTATGGTGGTCAACAATGTTCTTGGTACAGTATTGTAGTATGGTTTTCAACAGTGTTCTTGGTACAGTATTGTAATATGGTGTTCTACACTGTTCTTGGTACAGTATTGTAGTATGGTGGTCAGCACTGTTCTTGGTTCAGTATTGTAGTATGGTGGACAACACTGTTCTTGGCACAGTATTGTAGTATGGTGGGCAACACTGTTTTTAGTACTGTAGTATAGTATGGTGGTCAACACTGTTCTTGGTATATTATTGTTGTATGGTGGGCAACACTGTTCTTGGTACAGTATTGTAGTATGGTGAGCAACACTGTTCATGGTACAGTATTGTAGTATGGTGAGCAACACTGTTCTTGGTACAGTATTGTAGTATGGAGAGCAACACTGTTCTTGGTACAGTATTGTAGTATGGTGGACAACACTGTTCTTGGTACAGTGTTGTCGTATGGTGAGCAACAATGTTCTTGGTGCAGTATTATAGTATGGTGGGTAACACTGTTCTTGGTACAGTATTATAGTATGGTGGTCAACACTGTTCTTGGTATAGTATTGTAGTATGATGGGCAACACTGTTCTTGGTACAGTACTGTAGTATGGTAGACAACACTGTTCTTGGTACAGTATTGTATTATGGTTGGCAACACTGTTCTTGGTACAGTATTGTAGTATGGTGGGAAACACTGTTTTTAACACTGTAGTATGGTGGGCAACTCTGTTCTTGGTAGAGTATTGTAGTATGGTGGACAACACTGTTCTCGGTACAGTATTGTAGAATGGTGGTCAAAACTGTTCTTGGTACAGTAGTGTAGTGTGGTGGGCAACACTGTTCTTGGTACAGTATTGCAGTTTGGTGGTTAACACCGTTCTTGGTACAGTATTGTAGTATGGTGGACAACACTGTTTTTGGTACAGTATTGTATTATGGTGGGGAACACTTTTCTTGGTACAGTATTGTAGTATGGTGGGCAACACTGTTCTTGGTACAGTATTGTGGTATGGTGAGCAACACTGTTTTTTATACTGTAGTATGGTGGGCAACTCTGTTCTTGGTACAGTATTGTAGTATGGTGGACAACACTGTTCTTGGCACAGTATTGTAGTATGGTGGTCAACACTGTTCTTGGTACAGTATTGTAGTATGGTGGACAACACTGTTTTTGGTACTGAAGTATGGTGGTCAACACTGTTCATGGTACAGTATTGTAGTATGGTGGACAACACTGTTCTTGGTAAAGTATTGTAGTAGCCTATATAGTGGTCAAAACCTTTCTTGGTACAGTATTGTAGTACGGTGGACAACACTGTTCTTGGCACAGTATTGTAGTTTGGTGGTCAACACCTTTTTTAGTACTGTAGTATGGTGGTCAACAATGTTCTTGGTACAGTATTGTAGTATGGTTTTCAACAGTTTTTGGTATGGTATTGTAGTATGGTGGACAACACTGTTCTTGGTACAGTATTGTAGTATGGTTTTCAACAGTTTTTGGTATGGTATTGTAGTATGGTGTTCTACACTCTTCTTGGTACAGTATTGTAGTATGGTGGTCAGCACTGTTCTTGGTTCAGTATTGTAGTACTGTGGTCAACATTGTTCTTAATACCGTAGTGTGGCGGTCAACACTGTTTTTAGTATTGTAGTATGGTGGGCAACACTGTTCTGGGTACAGTATTGTAGTATGGTTTTCAAGAGTGTTCTTGGCACAGTATTGTAGTATGGTGGTCAACACTGTTTTTAGTACTGTAGTATGGTGGTCAACACTGTTCTTGGTACAGTATTGGAGAATGGTTTTCAACAGTGTTCTTGGTACAGTATTGTAATATGGTGGTCAGCACTGTTCTTGGTTCAGTATTGTAGTACTGTGGTCAACATTGTTCTTAGTACCGTAGTATGGTGGTCAACACTGTTTCTATTACTGTAGTATGGTGGGCAACACTGTTCTGGGTACAGTATTGTAGTATGGTGGACATCACTGTTCTTGGTACAGTGTTGTAGTATGGTGGGCAACACTGTTCTTGGTACAGTATTGTAGTATGGTGGTCAAAACTGTTCTTGGTACAGTATTGTAGTGTGGTGGGCAACTCTGTTCTTGGTACAGTGTTGTAGTATGGTGGTCAAAACTGTTCTTGGTACAGTATTGGCGTATGGTGGTCAACACTGTTCTTGGTACAGTATTGTAGTGTGGTGGTCAACACTGTTTTTAGTACTGAAGTATGGTGGTCAACACTGTTTTTAGTACTGTAGTATGGTGGTCAACACTGTTCTTGGAACAGTATTGTAGTATGGTGGTGAACAGTGTTCTTTGTATTGTAGTATGGTGGGCAACACTGTTCTTTGTATTGTAGTATGGTGGGCAACACTGTTCTTTGTATTGTAGTATGGTGGCCAACACTGTTCTTTGTATTGTAGTATGGTGGGCAACACTGTTCTTTGTATTGTAATATGGTGGGCAACACTGTTCTTTGTATTGTAGTATGGTGGGCAACACTGTTCTTTGTATTGTAGTATGGTGGGCAATACTGTTCTTGGCACATTATTGTATTATGGTGGGCAACACTGTTCTTGGTTCAGTATTGTAGTATGGTGGGCAACACTATTCTTGGCACTGTATTGTAGTATGGTGGGCAACAGTTTTCTTTGTATTGCAGTATGGTGGGCAACACTGTTGTTGGTACATTAATGTAATATGATTGGCAACACTGTATAGGATTGTAGTATGGTGGGCAAAACTGTTCCTATTATTGCAGTATGGTTTTCAACAGTTCTTGGTTCAGTATTGTATTATGGTGGGCTACACTGTTCTTGGTACAGTATTGTAGTATGGTGGTCAAAACTATTCTTGGTACAGTATTTTAGTATGGTGGTCAACACTGTTCTTGGTAGAGTATTGTAGTATGGTGGTCAACACTGTTTTTATTACTGTAGTATGGTGGGCAACACTGTTCTTGGTACAGTATTGTAGTATGGTGGTCAAAACTGATCTTGGTACAGTATTGTAGTATGGTGGTCAAAACTGTTCTTGGTAAATTATTGTAGTATGGTGACTCTCCGTGTCGTTTCTGGCTCTCCATGGGGTTGGATGTCTCTGAGGGAATATTCCAACAGGTGATTCTTTTGCAGTTCGCCGAGATCTTCGGGTTCTGGAGGCGGCATCCTGGAGGCGGTAAGGCAAGAGGTGGGTGGTGTACTGCGGCCTCCAGATGGACCTTATTACAATGGTAAGTGTAGTTGTAGAGATCCAAGTTCTTCAGATACCCAGACGATATGGCACTGAAAAAAAAAATGAGGCCCACATTGGATATAAAGTGTTTTTGATATTTTGTGTTATTTGCAGTGTAAGGGCGCGATTTCCTTACTTCGTATTTTATCTTTCAGATTTATCCTTTTCTGTTATTATTCTTCAATACTATTACATTCTTTATATTCTTGCTTATGTTATTATATAAGTAGCTCTTATATTTGTCTGCTTATATTTTCCATGTCAAAGTTCTTTTCTTTTCTTCATTTCTTTTCATATATAATATTATATTTTCTTGTAAGAGCGGGGGCTGCTACTACTTACTGCTGAGCCACCGAGGCCACCATTTGTAAGAGCGCGCACCACAAGCTGCCACCCTGTAAGGGCTTGGCACTCTTACAATAACTTACGTAATATTCTGACCTGGTAGCGTGACGTGAGAGGAAGGCTCATGGGTCCATGTAATTATAGTATCGAGTATTAGGGAAAGAACAACGGTGAATACTATAGGTGAATCATAGACCCACATACAAATACACTGTTTATTGAACACAAAAATGGTTACAGAAAAGACGTTGTATGCACCCAAAATAGGAACTCCTGGTACCATGTCCTCAGGCTCAATTTACTTGCATCACTACCGGTGTACACACACCAAAACACACATAAACTCTTACAGCACCTTAGTACCAATAAAACCAGTGGCACCTGCCAGTACAACACTCAATACCCCAGGGGCAATACTCCAGCGGCAGCCATGGGAGTCTCATCACCAAGTGACACCTTCCAACAAACTCCGATAATTCCGGTGGACTAACACCGCCACACCAACAGCTCCACCGAGTTATGTACTTTACTCATCCACCAATGATGGGGCTTGACGATCCGGGTTCACCATGGGGGCATGGCGTCAGGGGAATCCACTACCACCTGTGGGGCCCATAGGTGGCAGTGGAGCCTCTGACAGTCTGGGTTCACGGGGATACCCGACTCCACTGGACCTCAGACATCTCCTGAGACTAGTGGGTGCGTCATCCATGCTACAGACACGGCCCAGGCTGCATTAGGGACCTGTTGGTGGGGAGTGTGGAGCTTACTCACGGTTTATAACAAACTCAACGTTTCAAAGGGACATTAAGGACATGAAATACTTCACTCTGTAGTATCTTGCGTTATTTAATGGGAGAATGACAAGCACACGGTCGGTCTGGCTGGGCGTTTATTCTGTTCTTGGTTACAACGTGCCTAACACATTTCGTGTTTACACAAGCCTAAACACTTTCTGACTTTGGTAAGAAGTAACATAATATATAATATATATATTCAATAAAGGCAGCATATAAACATACAGATATATAACACTATTTTTCCCTTTCAAAAGAGAGCATGGCTGCTACAAATCCTAAATAAACAAAACTTACAGAATTACATATGGCAGGAAAGAAGGGAATAGAACACAACAAATATAACTTCCTAACTAAACAGTTTTGAAAGGCCTGTTCACAATTCAGATAATTAGAGGTCTAATTTAATTACAGGTCTCCTAACTCTGTTTGATCTTCTAGGCTATTCACTCCATCAAGTTTTACAGGGGTTTCACTTGCACTCTGTGCATTATCAATGACAGACATATCATAACTACAATCAGTTGACACAGTGAGTGGATGCTGGGAAACGTCACCTTTGACATCATGATGATGATGATCATCTGAAACTGTGTCAAGTTTATCATCATGTCCTGGTGCTACATTCATCTCGTCATGTGCCTGAATGATGTGTTCCACATGAACATATCTCAAAGAGTTACCACATTTCACTAAATATCCTAGATCCACATACCTTGTCAATGACACCAGTTATCCACTTTGCATTTACAGTACCATAACCTTTAGCCATGTTCCTAACTCTCACCCTATCATTTACCTTGAACACTCTTTCACTGGAACTCTTATCATGATACATTTATTGTTGAGCTTGTTTCCTCTCTACAACTTCAAACAGACTTGGCTTAACTAAACTTAATCTTGTTCTCAACTGTCTCTTCACCATTAACTCTGCAGGAGTACATCCTGTCACACGATGAGGCGTGTCTCTGTATCTGAGTAAGAAATTTGCTAGTCTGTGTTTCATTGATTTTCCTACAGTTCCTTGAATTACCTGCTTGGAAAGTGCTTCCTTTACAATTCTAACTGATCTCTCAGCTGCACCATTAGAGGCAGGATGGTAGGGTGGGGTCAGTACATGCTTTACACCGTTGAATCTCATGAAGTTTTTAAACTCTGATGATTGGAATGGAGGACCATTGTCAGAAACTACCTCTTCTGGTATTCCATGTTCGGCAAATATTAATCTTAATTCATCAATGGTGCTACCAGCATTAGTACTTTACATGTGCTTAACATCAATCCACTTTGAATGACAGCTATCAATTAATCCAAGAAATTTGTCTGTTCCCTTATCACAAGTCAATGTGTACTCTTTGGAAGGGACGGGTAGGCCATTTCCAGGTTTTCACAGGTGTGCTGGGTGGCATACTCCTAACATTCTGACAAACAGAGCACTCACGTACCATCATTTCTATTTCACCATCCAGTTTAGGCCACCACACAAAACTTCTGGCCAGTGCTTTCATAACACATATACCTAGATGTTCAAAATGCAGTTTATTAAAAATTTGCACTCTAAAACACTGTGAAATTAACACTCTCATACCCCACAACACACATCCCTGTTCTACTGATAATTGACATCTCCTTAAATGATACGGTTGAAAATTTTAGGATGGACAAATCTCTGGCCATCCATTTAGTGTATACTCCAGGACTCTTCCTAATACAACATCTTTCCTAGTTTCATGAGCAATCATTCTGGAGGTGACTGGAAAATCTTCTGCTATCATGGTTACAGCATAAACCTTAGGCTCTACTCCATCATTTGATCCACTACATGGCAACCTTGACAAAGCATCTGCATTGGAATGATCATCTGAACGTCTGTACTGAATCTCATAGTCATATGCCGACAATATCAAAGCCCATCTCTGCATTCTTGCTGCAGCAAGTGCAGGAACAGGTGATTTAGGACCCAAAATTGCCAAGAGAGGCTTGTGATCAGTTATTAAAACAAAATTCCTCCCTTATAGATACTGGTGAAATTTCTTTACTCCAAATGTGATATTTGGGCATAATTTTTCTCGCTTTGGGGAAGAGTTCTCGAGGCATATGCAATGGGTCTTTCTTCACCGTTATCCATTATGTGACTTATGACAGCACCTAATCCCTAGCCTGATGCATCACAAGCAAGCTTTAGTGTTCTACTGGTATCATAGTGGAACAAAACATCAGTACTAGACAGAGCAGCTTTACAATCTTCAAATGACTTCTGAGTTGCACTGTTCCATTTCCATGGTATCCCTTTCTTTAATAGTTCATGCAGAGGGGCTAAAGCTGATGAAAGTCCACTCAAGAACCTTGAATAATACTGTATCATACCTAGGAAAGCTTTCAATTTACTGACATTTTTTTGGAGCAGGTAAATTTACTATGGCTCCTACTTTATCTTCTACAGGTCTCAGCCCTTCTGCATTCACTTTGTAGCCAAGATAAGTTACTTCTTTAGCTAGGAATGAACATTTGCTCTTGTTGAGCCTGACATTGTGTGCCAACAATCTTTCGAATACTGTGGCTAGGGTTTTGACATGATTTTGGATGTCACTGTCAACAATAAGGACATCATCCTGAAAAAACATAACACATTGGGAAGACCCACAAGAATTTTGTCTATGATGCACTGAAATAACTTTGGTGCACTTTTGACACCATAAGGCAATCTTTTGAACTTATACAATCCTTTATGGGTGTTGATGGTAAGGTACTGTTGACTTTCAGCATCAACAGAGACCTGAGCATGCTTGGGACAAGTCTAACTTAGTGAAAATGGTTCCACCTGTTAGTGCAGCAAACAAATCTTGAGATGTGGGTAAGGGATATTGCTCATCCTCAACAGCTTGATTAATGGTAACTTTATAATCACCACATAGTCTAACAGATTTATCAGCTTTAGGTGCAATTACTATTGGAGCAGCCCAATTGCTCTTGGCGGTTTTCACAATAATTCCCTCACTCACAAGTCTGTCTAATTCCTTCTCAACATCGCCTTTCAGTGCATAAGAAACAGGTCTGGACTTAGCATATATGGGTGTAACATCTTTGTCAATGGTGATATGAGCTTCATAACCCTTTATACCATCCTGTCCCTTTACAAATAAAATCTTGCATTTTTCAAGCAATTTCTCTAGACCTGGAATACTGTTACACATTCTAACACTAGATATCTCCTTCCAGTCCATCTCAAGTTCACACAACCAGTTCTTACCTAACAATGTTGGTCTATTCACATAACTAGCTATAATTAATGGCAACTTTAAATTCTGATTTTTGTACTTTACCTCACACTCTAATTTACCTTCTGTGTTCAAAATCTCTCCAGTTTAAGTTGTCAACTTGACACCTGAGTCTTCTAAAGGCACATGCGCAAATAGTTTCTCATACATATCTTTACTCATTATGGAGAAATCAGCTGCAGTATCGATTTCCATGGTTACAGGTGTGTCATAAATACACAAGTCCACATTATACCTATGTTTAACTTTCTCTTCACGACTGGTGTAAATAGTAAACACATGGGCACTCTCATCATTATTAGATCCAAAATTACTAACACTCTCATGAATACTGTTTTTCATTTCCTTCTCTCCACCTTCAACGGCATATACTCTACCTTTATCACTTCTACAGGCAGGAGCAATATGTCCAATACGTTGACAATTGTAACATTTTGAATTCTTGAACTACAGTGAAAGCTTTCATGTTTCCCTCGGCACCTCTTACATTTTAAAGCAGCATGTGTTCCTTGTTTTGTGGTATACTTATTCCTTTTAGCTACAGTTACTTTACACACTGAGCCATTACTGCTAACTGTTTCACTACCAGCATTGGGAACAAATTCTCTGGTGTTTTTCTCGGCCAATTCCATGCTTGTAGCTATCTGACATGCACTTTCAAAAGTTGAGTTAGTGGTGTTCATTAACTTATTCTGTATTTTTTCATAATCCAGGCCTATTACAAACCCGTCTCTTAGAGCTCGGTTCAAGAACTGTCCAAAGTTACAGTGAATGGATAACTTCTTCAAAGCTACTATATAATTACTTACTGATTCATCTTTACCTCTATCTCTGGTGCCAAATCTGTAGCTTTCAGCGATCTCAAGTGGAGCAGGATCAAAATGTTGCTTCAGAATCTTGGTAATCTGAATCAGTGAGGAGTCCTTGGGTTTGTCTGGAGTAAGCAGATTGACCAGAGTAGAATAAACATTAGCTCCTACCTCTGTCAAAAAGATTGCTTTCCTTTTCTCTTGAACGGCTTTCTTCTTCTGAGCATCACCACCGTCGTCCATTAATTCATTTGCCAGAAAGAAGAAGTCCATTCTCTCACAATATGATGTGAAATCTTCCTTGTCTGCATCACACTCCCCCAATCGTCCGATGTATCCACTGACGCCAGCCAAGGTTGCTCTCTTCACTTAAATTCTCCAGGTTCAGAGTAGCCTTCCCTTCAGTGGTCACTATCCTCTCTTCAAGGACTTCACCAACACTTTGTGAATCCCATCCTCATCGCCAGTGTAGTATCTTGCGTTATTTAATGGGAGAATGACAAGCAGATGGTCGGTTTGGCTGGGCGTTTATTCTCTCTTCGTGGTTACAACGTGCCTAACACATTTCGTGTTTAGACAAGCCTAAACACTTTCTGACTTTGGTAAGAAGTAACATAATACAGTATATAATATATATATTCAATAAAGGCAGCATATAAACATACATACATAATACACTCAAAGCACATTAACTACGTTACTGTAACACTTGCACAATCAAACTATTAATTAGGTCAAATCACTTAAAAATGGCGAATTACAACACGGAGAAGGTGGAATGACCTACCTGTTGGTGGGGAGTGTGGCGCTTACTGATTTGAAAACCAACCGCCGCCTTCCACCCACGCTAAAGTCACAAATTCCACCTACTCAACCATTTCACTGAAAAACGTTACTGTAACACTCTGACGTTTGAAACTGAGACTACGAACTCAGTTTCATTCCCTACTATTTTCTTCACAAACAATGCTCTAACTGCTATCAAAATGCTATCAAAAGCAAGAATTTGATTGATTACAAATGGTTGGATGGCAACAGGTCCCAACACGCAGCACCTTGCTACAACACCCGAGGAGCAGATTGAAAAGGTTCCCTTCAGAATATTAACTAATTCCTCAATTAACCTCCCTGCCACAATTTCACTATGATTATCAGAGTCATAGGTGAAAAAAAAAGGTTTACAGGGTCTCGGTAGCAGAAAGAGTTTACAACTTCGGTCAACAAACATACGACATCTCGATGATGTCATCAAAGAAACAGAGAGAACGGAGGACATTTCCACTGGGAGACTCAGAAGGTTTTGTGGACGTGTAAGCGTAATATGGATCATTAGTTTAACAGGTTAGCCGTCATTACGATCATGACATTCTGAATTTCAATGTCCTTACCTTGCTGAAGTATAATCTGTTTTATTATATTCTAAACCATGGATTAGTCTGGGGAACCATGTCACATTTTTAGTACAACACTTATTATACTTACAAAGGTAGCCTGCCACCACCCAGACTTTTATTAGAATATAACATATCTCGAGGAATGGTTAGGTAATGTGTTAGCGAGTATAGGCACGTGAGTTACTAATATTATTTTCTGAGAACCAATGTGTGAAAGGAATAGAATGGTGATACTCGTAGTTTACTAATTTTATATTTATTAACACAGGGAGTGAATAAGATGTTAATTAAGTTCACTCAGACAAGACTGGACCACCTAGGTCGGACTTTACCTTGAATAGTAAAATAGATCATTTCTTGATTATAACATTACTCTCAGGGTATTACTTCATGATCAATACAGATAAATATATAACACACTTGACAAACTCCACAATTAGAACAACATCAAACACATCCTGTCAGTTCGGAAGGAACAACATGGCACTTTAACTCTTATTCAGTGGTAGTACACCTGGGAGGAACACTCGACTCCTACAATCAACAGTAACCAACATCCATGGGTTCAATACTTAACCTGGGATACTATATTTCTGCTAGTCATCCCCAACCATGGATACCAATACTGCTCAATTCATATACCCAAGATCAATGGGCCGGACAAGAGTGCGTCCATGAGGGAAGAGAGTTGTTTACTGTACCCAGCTGAGCCGAGGCTCGAGGGCAAGGAAGCGCCTGGGGGCTAGACTCTCTCCGCACGGCGTTCTCTGGGTAATCTTGTCATTGGACTCCAATCTCGCCATGTTAAAGACGTCCTTCAAGAACCATCTTGCCCATAGGCGGCTATCGAACCTCAGTAGTGCTGCCAACACAAACAGTGCCTGGAGATGCGTTGAGGAAGAGTCACGAATGTGAATGTCTAACTTCAACAAAACATACGTCTGGCAACGATACAGATGATATTTACGTTACTCGACTTATTTGGCACAAGAGTATTTCACTATATTAAAACATGAACACTGATATTCACAAAATCGACTAAGTTAAACTGACTTTACATGACGGCGGGAAACAATTGTTCACATACCTGGAGATGCGTTGAGGAAGAGTCACGAATGTATGATTTTTCCTCGTGCATCTGTATAAATGTGAGCCTGGGGCACTTCTGGCCCACATATACCTACCAGAAAGACTAATCTCACCAACAACAGACCTTCTATACAAATTGATCGCTATACCTCTAGCTGTGACCGTCCGTGTCACAGATCAGGCTAATTTCCTACGTCTATTTTTATAATCTAATCAGAGATTGAGTTTGTCATGAAATAGGTGAAATGGAGTTACATACGCACTAACAACTCTACTGGCCAGAAACTGCAAACCACAGCCAGGGAGTTTCTTCCGGCGACCAGCCGTTAGGTCTTTTACTTTTTACTTTTATCCTCTTCGCCACTGATCGGCTTGTTAGCCGCTTGGGCGATCGGTCACGTCTCTGTCACGCACTGTTGGCAAATACTGGGCATGCACCGGCTCCTGAATGTACCTGAACCCGCTCCAGTGTTGGTCAAGTCTTCTCTTGAAAGAGCTCACACTCGGTGCCGTCACAACACTCTCTGGTAGATTGTTCCAAGAGTTTACAACCCTCACTCCGAAAAAGTTTGCCCTCACGGTTTTCTGGACTTGTGGCTTCTTCAATCTTGAGCTGTGACCCCTTGTGGGGCGAGCGTCTTGGAGATTTTGAGTTTGACAGGATCTTTTCAGTAGATTAATGGCTTTCTAAAATAGAAAACTGACACTAACTAAACTACAATCATCAGATTCCCTGATGTTTGGGCAACAAAATAATCTAACTACAGTAACACTCGGAAATTCATGGTTATCCCTCAGGATAATATGAGGCTATGCCATTCAGACTGACAAACTCGACACTCACTCACTTGACAAGTTTTACAAACAATAAGGAAAGTTGAAGATTTCAACATCACTCACAATGGATCTTGAATGTTCCAACTGTAAACAGACTTATCTAAGTTGCCTCACCAATTGCAACCACAGTTGCAATTACAAATTCTGTTATTACTAAGGAATAATGAAGTCTCGGGTGCATTCTGAGATTGAGAGAAAACGGAGGACTCAGGCGTCCTGAAACCGATGAGAAAACGGATTCCTCAGATGGGGAACACAAATAAAGAAAGCATAGCTACATGTTTTGTGGGCTATTGAGCGTAATATGAATCGTCTGATTTTACGTTAACTGACGTGTATGACCATGGTCATTACAGCAGTTGATATTCACATATGGGGTCTATGTACATTATGTATGAAATTTTACCCAGTAAGATACAAGTACATCTTGGTTACTTGTCTTAAATCTCAGGGTCTGGTGAGAGGTTATATTTCTATGCTGTATCGACTTTCAGAATGTGATTTTAATAAACTTGTATGTTTAGCGAAGATAAGTATCAAAGTAGCATTTTTAGGACACGCTTGGCCATCCTAGTGCTGTATTTGTGCTTATGCTTAATACCTTGTACAGAGTTAATAAGATGGAAGTGGACCAGTGTGTGTGTGTGTGTGTGTGTGTGTGTGTGTGTGTGTGTGTGTGTAACTTTAATAATTTCTACCTTGCAGATGCGAAGATGTGTTTCACTCCAGCGCTAGAGAGTATAGAGGAGTTCTTCACCTATATCAGGACCCCTACAGCACATTGTCGAACCTCTGTGAGTTTGTATGTTTTGTCAGATGAGGGTGGCTGTTTGTATTTCGCAACTATTTGCTTTGTTTTGTGTATAAATTTGGACTGTGAAGGGAATTCATATTCATTCATATATTTATGGAGCACAAACAAATACTGTACTGTACTTAATGTTATTTTTGTTTATATTTTAACCAGAATAAGGTAGTGATGCCTTAAAGCTAAATAAAGGATATTAATGCATCTAAAAAGCTACCAACAAAGTCAACTACAGTCAACAAAATGCTCAGACTGCTTCAAACTCGAACACATGAACCATCACAAAGTTACATCAAAATAGCTCAGTTGCAGACCATCTCTTACTCTATTATAATTTCATGATAAGCTCAGATACCCAGCTCAAAGACTTCATTATTGTCAAGCATCCTGACCTTCTGAAGAGGCTGCTTCAAGAGCCATCATGAAATAGTAGGTGATATTTTCTCAATACCATACTGTTATATCTTGCAAACATAGGACAGCAATTGTGAGAATATATTTGAACACTGAGCTTATGTTCCTAACCGGATGATGAACTTTTTGATAAGAGAATGAGATAGTAATACTGTGAGCCATTGCTTCCCATGGTAATATGGATATAACATACACAACAACTCATTATGCGTCTTTAAAATGAACTCTTAGAATACTCTCACAGCTAAAATTATTTAAGTATATATTTAATTTAGTATTTCACTACCCACTAGCCTTTCAGGTGGTTGGTGTATTCTTTCTTACTGTACTTTGTTATTGAAAAATGAAAGTGGGTCCCATAAGCATGACTGCCTGTTAGGGACAGTATGGATACAGTACACTGTATATTAAGCATTCACGGTTTTATGCCAAGATGCTCTTGCTTGACAACTCCTCAAAGTGATGAATGTTTAAACTAAAATTCTGGAGCAGGGTGGCAATATCGATGATATATGTCTGGATTCTGCCAAGGCTATCGACAGTGTACACCGTGAAAGGCGGAGAATTAAACTGGATGGATGCGGGATTTGGGGAAGTGCCCTAGTGTGGTTCACAGCCTTTTTTCATGACCGCAAGCAATGTGTGGTGATTAATTGCATGAAATCACCATGTGTACCCGTAGCAAGTGGGGTACCACACGGGAGGTGTACTGGGCTCGTTGTTGTTTGTTTCTTTCATAAATGAAATGCCAGAAGCTACCCACTCCTCAATGCAAATGTTTGCTGATGATAATTTATTCAGGGAAATCAAGAACCAAACAGACTGAGAAGAACTACAGAAAGATCTCTGAGAGCTTCAAAAGTGGTCATAGAAATGGCTGTTAAGATTCAAAGTCACGAAGGGTAAGAGGATGCACCAAGGTCGTACAAACGAGACGTAGAAACTGCATTAACAGAGATCGAATGTGAAAAATGTCTGGGTGTGTATGTTGACAACGAACTGAAATTTTCAGGCCACTGTGGAAAAAAAAAGGTGAATCAAGCAACTAAACGAGTTGGTCTTATAAAGTCATTCAGATATTTAGATAGTCTGTCCCTCATAATGCTCTTCAAACAGAGAGGTGCTTCCCCGTCTGGAGTACTGTCACCCAGTCTGGTCCCCGAGATATGCTAGGAACTAACAGTTGAGTGAAAATGTCCAAAGGAAGACCACCAGACTGTTGCCTGCATACGACACCTCTGTTACCTAGAGAGATTAGAACGCCTGCAATTGCCTAGCTTATACTATAGACGGGCGAGGGGTGACCTAATTGAAGTTTATAAACATCTCAAAGGGTACTACTCTGTCAAGTGTCCATACCTGGAGTTGGCAAATGACTGCACCACAAAGGGTCACAGCTCAAGGCTGATGAAGCCACAGGATCAGAAAATTGTGAGTGCAAACTCTTTGGAGTGAGAATTGTGAAATCTGGGAACAATCTACCAGAAAGTGTTGTAATAGCAATAAGTGTGAGTTCTTTCAAGACCAAACCGACCATCATTGGTGCAGGTACAGATACACTCAGACGCCAGAACTGTACATGCCCAGTACCATAATTTATATCAGTGCATAACAGAGACCTGAGAGGATAAAAGAAAAGATAAAAGATGGCTGGTATTGCACTCGACTGCATTCACTTCCATATTTTGTAAACTTAAGGTGGACTGGGAATATCTGGAGATCGAACCACCAACCCCTGGAACAGGAGATGAATGCTGTATCTACTCAAGCACCAAACTCCTCTAGGGACATTAATTGACACTAATTACTGTACTGTACTTGAATTTGAACATTTTAAGCCTAACTCCTTAATCAGCAAGTCAAGAAGAGCCTTCGTCTGAAAATTAAACAAAATCTATTCTTTGACCATTGTGATAAAATGGAAGGTAATAGGGTCAGGCGGTTTTAAGGGTAAAAAGACTATACTCATGGAAAAACTTATAACATGATTTAAAATATACAGGCATAGGCTATATCAGTACTGATCATTAAATTACTAGACTCTAGACCAGGTGTATCCAGGTGACAAAATTCCCCAAGCAAAGGACCCTCGACAGCTTTGTTGGATATCCTTGGTCAAGTTATCTCACTGTTTACCTGCACTGTCTCAGCACAGAGTAAACTGTATACAGGGTATTCCCACGGCCTACATGCACTGTGTACTGTATCTACATTGTCTATATTCATGCTGCACTACATACCTGCATAGTTTATACACAAGTTTAACCAATTGTAAACCTGAATTTATTTTTTTTTTTTATCCACTTCACCGGTGATCGGCTCGTTAGCCGCTTGGGCGATCGGTCACGTCTCTGTTACGCAATGTTGGCAAGTATTGGGCATGCACCGGCTCCTGGATATACCGGAACCTGCTTCAGTGTTGGTCAAGTCTGGTCTTGAAAGAGCTCACACTCGGTGCCGTCACAACACTTTCTGGCAGATTGTTCCAAGAGTTCACAATTCTCACTCCGAAAAAGTTTGCCCTCACAGTTTTCTGGACCTGCGGCTTGTGGGGCGAGCGTCCGCCAGCTCCAGGTAAGGACACTCGACTGAGTAGTGCCCCTTGAGATGCTTATACACCTCATTTAGGTCGCCCCTTGCCTGTCTGTAGTATAGGCTAGGCAAGTTCAGGCGCTCCAATCTCTCAGGGTAGTTGAGGTGCCGAAGTGCAGGCACCAGTCTGGTGGCCCTCCTTTGAACATTTTCAATCAACTGACAGTCCCTAGCATATCTCGGGGACCAGGCGTGGTGAGAGTACTCCAGATGGGGAAGCACTTCACTCTTGAAGATCATTACGAGGGACACACCTTCTAGATATCTGAACGACCTTCTTTTAAGACCTAATACAAAGTCACTGAATAAATATTATTAGCCCCTCACATTACCCTAGTTCTTATTCTTAAGTATCTTGGAGCATCAAGAAAATCTAAAAGTGGACCTTGAGAAGCTACTGTACTTATAAGGCCAAGTGTTTTTAAAAGCATTTAATAAGAATTTCCTAGCTTACTATATGTGTTGGAAAGCTAGAAATCACCAAGGCTAGTAAAATGACAAGTAGCAGAGATAACAAGCAAGGCACATTTTCTGGGACCCAATGCAATATAATATTATTGTATAGTCAATGTCATATTGTTCACATTGTCCTTTAATTTTCCTCATGGTACTGTTAGATACTGCTCTTATTACAGATACTAGTCTAACGGTATTACAAAAACTGGTGAAGAATTTGGGTTAAGAGTTAATGCTGTAAAACTGAAAATAAGGTGATTTCTAAATTGGAAATAAATTATAAATTAAGAATTGTGGGAGGGAACAGAGAACTTAACCAAGTGGAAAGTTTGTGGATTTGGGAGGTAACATTTTATGTGATAGTAGATGTGTGTAACAAATCAAAACAAGAGTAAGTCAAGCAAAAACAGCATTTAATAATCTAAAAGACCTAATAAAGAGGGACGTTAACTTCAATTTGAGAAAAAGGATGCTGAAAGGTTATAAGAACACAAGAAAATAAGGAGTCTGCAATAGGCCGGTTGGCCTGTGCATGGCAGCTCCTGTCGAGAGTTACTACCACTCTCTATCATCCATGAATCTATCCAGCCTCCTTTTGAAACTTTCCAGCGTTCCAGCACTTACTACAAAGTTGCTAAGCTTGTTCCACTCGTCCACCACCCTATTTTGTAAACCAGTTCCTTCCTATCTCCCTCCTAAACCTAAACTTATCCAACTAAAATCCGTTGTTCCGAGTCCTACCCTGCTCGGATATTATAAGAACTTTATCTATATCCCCTTTATTGATTCCTTTCACCTACTTAAATACTTCTATCATATCTCCCCGCACTCTTCGTCTTTCTAGGGAATGCAAGTTAGGTTTCTTTAACCTATCCTGATATGGAAGGTTTCTAAGTCCCGGAATCATTTTCGTCATTCTTCGCTGCACCGACTCCAGTGAATTGATATCCATTCTATAATAAGGGCACCAGAACTGAACCGCATAATCGAGGTGCGGCCTGACTCGAGCAAGATATAGTTGCAATAAGACCTCTGCACTCTTATTACTTAAACTTCTAGATATAAAACCCAATACTCTGTTTGCCTTATTTCGAACATTAACGCACTGTTTTCTAGGCCGTAGGTCAGGGCTTACAAGTACACCTAGGTCTCTTTCACAAGTCGACTTCTCTAGGTTGATATTGACAGTATTTGTTCTTCCAATATTAAGTACGCTGCTCTTGCTGATGTTGAATTTCATTAGCCATTTTTCAGACCACCCCTGCAGTTTACTTAAATCCTCCTGTAATGCATTTGCATCCTGCCCTGAACTAATCTGCCGTCTTATTTTGGTGTCATCCGCAAACTTGCTTATGTCACTGCTGATCCCAGTATCTAGATCGTTTATGTAGATTATGAACATGAGTGGGCCCAGTACTGACCCCTTACTAAGTTGATGTGATACAAACTGAACAGGTGTAAGGAACAGTTAGTGACTGAGGCCAGGGTTTATTGAGGAGTTGTTTATGTTCTACAGGCAAGACTCGGGGGAGTGAAGACCCGCCAAGGGGTGTACAACCTCAAGTGGGTGTGTCTGGACTCAAAGTACCACATCAAGAGGGACTCCTGCCTGGTCTTCTCCTTTGGTATGGACTCCAATGGGGAGTTTGAGAATGACATTATGCGACTTGTTGGCTGTAAGGTGAAGACTTCTTAATACACGAGATAAAATAATGTGTGTCTAGAATTATGTAGCAGATGAAAGTTATAAATCCTTTAAGTTGTAAATAATATGTTAGCCTATGAATATTTAAAGTGGATTAATGGTTGAAAATAGTATACTGTACAGAATGTGGTTAAGAGGAATGTGACAAGGAAGTGATACTAATTGGTGGGTTGGGGAACTGTAGTACAATACCGTACATTATCATATATCATCAATGTTTCTTAGTTTTTATGTAAAGGTTTATATAAAAAATGAGAAAACTATACTAACAAGAATTTTCATAAATGTATCTAGTGAAGTTAATGTAACATGTTAAGTCATGTTAGCTGTTGTATCTTTCTGACAAAACTTCTTATTCGTATCCTGCTGAAGTCTTGAATGTGACCTTGAACTTGTGCTTTTCCTACCTTGTAACACATTTGTTGGGGATATAACAGTTGTCGTATACAAGACGCCTTATTCTGTTTATTTACTTATGCCATGAATGAATTGTGTCTGGTCCATGTGTTTAGCTGCAGATGAGTCTGACTCTGAACTTTTAGCTGTTTTTATATTTTGTACTCTCTTTTGTTACGTCCAACGTGGGATAGGACTACCCTTAACAACCAATTACTAAATGAGCTTTATGCCCCTGCCAGACGTACTGTAAATGAGTATGTATTTTATATATATATATATATATATATATATATATATATATATATATATATATATATATATATATATATATATTTTATATTTTTATATTTTTCCAGACTTTTATTACATTGTTTTGTTTTTGTGTATGAATAGTTATAATATTAAAGTCGGTAACACTGTAATAACATTAACAATGAGACGTTATGTCAAGTACCATGTTTGGGTCAGACAGCAACCCATAAAAGCCGAGGGTGTCAGAGCCGGCTAGGAGTTCAGACCTAAGCTTGGGTAACCTCCGGACCTATACACTGGCCTGTGTTGTCAGTTGACTTCTGTCTTCGATCGATCGGGTAATGTACACTCAGAAACCATAATCTCTAGCCCACCTGGGTTGGTACTGGAGGTTAGAACAGTGTCTTTTCTGGACGGGGGCCCACACTAACTATCACGAGGCAACACACGCACGAACACACACAGTCATAGTACGGCTGTATAGATGACATTATGTATAAATATTGTATATGGCATTTTATACTCTGCATTATCTTCACTATATATGAACACGAAGAAAAAATACCATAGGTTGTAGTTACGAAAGTATGAATGGAAATAACACTTCCAAACCACCCAGTGACCCCACACAACATGTGTGTGTGTGTGCCAGACCACGATGCTTCCCATCATTTGCATAACTATATGAAAAATCGTGTTTAATTTAACTACATATTTCAAAAACCTTAAATTACATGTGGTTCAGTCACTCCTCATTTGACACACTTATAGTGTAATACTTTGACCATCCCACCTGGGCACATGGAGGCCCACGGTAACTCTCACGGGGCAACATATGCACGAACACACAAGTTATGATATGAACCCTTCCAGGCTTCACTATCATTATCATGTTATGTTCATCGTGCTCTGTATCTTGGTAACTAGTCATAGTATCAATACATAACAGTGTTATTAGTATAATATTGTAACTTTTACCCTTCAGTTATTGTTGCAAATCATGGACAGGAAGGATACATAAATTGTAATATCAAGTGTATGGTTCGCTCAAAGCCACCAAGTCAGACAACGCGTCACACAAAGTTACACTGTGTGTGTGTGTGTTCTGTAACATTAAGCTTCATCCTTAGTAGGTAAGATGTTTCGTAAAGAGGTTTCTCCTATTCGTCATTGTGAGCATCGTCCCAGAGCACATTGTTTCCATCAAAACCATGGTTTACCCTTATTTCCCTTCTTCCGTATAACTATATCAATATGGGTAAGTGCTTGCTTTTCATTTCTTTATTTACCAAAATAATGTGGATCAGTTACTCGTTATTTAACACATACATCCACTTAGAGCATCAAGATTGTTTTGTAGGCATGACTATTGGTTAATTGAAACCCCAAAAATATTTTTCACATTTATTATGTATAAACATTGTAAATATATATCTGTGATTATTGTGGTATATAACATAAATTTAATGTCTGGACAGATTCCCAAGAGTTATGCATATTAATGCATAGATTTTGTAAGCATATTTATGTGAAGTAACGTAAAACCACATAGTAAAATACCTGGACAAATTCCCGAGTTAGGAAACGAAGTCTATGTGGCCCCAACGAGGTTACACCAGAGTTAACTCCCCCGCCACCCCCTACAAGGCACCGTCGTGGGCGGAGATTTAATTCTTGACCACAGGTTAATACCGTGTCCAACCTCCATCTGCTGTTATAACTTCATGCAATCTGGTGGGCATGGAATCTACCAGATTGCTGCAGATGCTCGGCCTCCTCCTTATTCCCTCCCACACATTATGTGCGTGTCTCCTCACTGCCTCACTCGTTTTCTCCTCAACATCCCATTCAACAACCATATGCGCCCATAGATTTTCTATTGGATTACAATCGGCTTCTTTAGGGGGGCCAGTCCAAATGAATAATCTGCGAATGCGCCTCAAACCAACGCTTGACTGCCTGACTTGTATGTATTGGACTGCGGTCTTGCACCATACATATAGGCTGTGTGTCTGGGATGGCATATGAGTTGCTGGGAGGATGGTTAGCAGTCCTGTTGAACTGGCAGGTAGACAAAATAGAAAACTCACAGCCAAACTGTAAGAAAACCCATGGACAATGAGACATTAGTAAAATATACTAGGTCATTTTAGCACGTGCACACGCATTATATACAGACCTATTGGTCCTTGCGAGGCTGTTTGGTTATGCTATGCTAACTAGTTTGCTAGGGTGAGGGAAAGTATATATATATGTTATCGCCGCTGGCTTCAGCTACAGTGCTGGCGTGTGATGCCATTAAATCTTTCGACCTGTGACCTCGCCAGATGTAGAAGTGTTTACAGACAAGTCCTGGTTCTGCTGAGTGGACTGTCTTAGACTGGTGGCGGTCGCTGCCCGCCCCTCCATGAGACAGATCGCCCTCTCTAGTGATGCTGTGAAGACCAGCCTTCTGTCCGAGAATTTGTGCTGGGACGATTTACGCAATACTGTTTTCTCTTGGAACACCATACTGATCTGCATTGACCCGCACTTGTAAGTACAGCCTAAGTGATGACATACCCCTCGGTACTGAAATATTGTTGAATAATTACGCCTACTCGTTTCTGCCTAACCTGGAATAATAAGACAATGCAGAGTGAAGCGAAGCTAAGATTAATAGAGTTATGAACTTTGTGTTATGTCAGTATGTTTAATAAATTGTAATCAAGATAAAATTGTGTGAGACTAACTAATTATGTATCAGATGAATCACCTTGTAATATTATGAACGCCTTCTCCTCTGCAGGTTTTGACCACATCAATAAATATTTAATGCGTCAAAAGACGGGTTTCAATCATTCCCTTCGACTTGCCCGTAACCTGAACGTCCTTAACTAAAGCGTTTACAATATATATATATATATATATATATATATATATATATATATATATATATATATATATATATATATATATATATATATATATATATATATATATTTAACTCTTCTCAACAAATGCAAGGATGAATTATACGACTTACCCTTTGAGCAACCGTGTCCACACTGATACGGCATGCCTCCCTACACACGACGTCAGGTCGGTCATTCCTATGTCCTTTGGTTCTTCATTTCATAACTCCAGTGTGTGGTGTGCCTTCCCTTACGTCCAATGGTTAAACGAGATTTTTTACGGTTTGCAATAAAATGCAATATTACAGTATATTAATATAGATTTTTCTTCATGTATTGATACTATGATACTATGACTAGTTACCAAGATACAGAGCACGATGAACATAACATATTTAACTCTTCTCAACAAATGCAGGGATGTTGCCCCGTGAGTTACCGTGGGCCTCCATGTGCCCAGGTGGGATGGTCAAAGTATTACACTATAAGTGTGTCAAATGAGGAGTGACTGATCTACATGTAATTTAAGGTTTTTGAAATATGTAGTTAAATTAAACACGATTTTTCATATAGTTATGCGAATGATGGGAAATAAAAGATATAGATGGGGTTTGGTGGGATCATCGTGGTCTGGCCACAAGCGCTGTAAACGACATGTGGATTCACTGGGTGGTTTGGAAGTGTTTATTTCCATTCATACTTTCGTAACTACAACCTATGGTAATTTTTTCTTCGTGTTCATATATAATGAAGATAATGCAGAGTATAAAATGCCATATACAATATTTATACATAATGTCATCTATACAGCCGTACTATGACTGTGATGTTCGTGCGTGTGTTGCCTGTGATAGTTTGAGTGGGCCTCAGTCCAGAAAGGACACTGTGCTAACCTCCAGCACCGACCCAGGTGGGCTTGAGAATATGGTTTCCGAGTGTACTTATGGTATTCATTGTTGTGGCTGGTTGGCTGTATTTAGTGTTTTATGTATTTTTGTTCTTGAATCGTGTATTGATTTAGTTGTCAGTGATATTGACAACCTTAAAGTAATATAGTATGTTCATGTGATTAGCTTTATGTCTTTGTTATTAGTGGTAAGCACTTGTAAATATAGTTATACTTTTTATTTAAGTTTCTTTACTCCAATTATCAAGTATTCATTTATTAAAAGGGGCTGCATTCAATTCATACATTACAGTGTAGTCGGAGTTGTTCTCGATACAAATTTAAGAACCATATATCGTAATTCACTTTAAATACATTCACTTTTTGCTTGTTACGAGCCTTACCCCATTGACACGTAACACTTTCACCTAGTAGATGATATATTATTCACAAATTTTATTGAACAGTTGATATTGTCAGTGATCCTGTAGCTGATGTTGTAGACCTTAGATTAGATGTCTGTACAGGAACCCTGAAGTAAGTTTTCTAACTTCCTAAACAGGTATATGTGTTTGACCCCTCCATCACCCAAGACACGCACACTATCAACATCCACGTCTTGGATGTGGGCGTTGCTGATTATACCGGCACTATGTTAATTGGTTGGCGATTTTACCCAGTAAGTGCTAGAGTGCTGTATAAGTTTACTCCTAATATTGTAAATTTTCAGTGACAAACTTGTAAACAAATATTTACTCTTACATACAACACTTGAGACAAGGTGCTACTCCACCAGGACTCATGGCAAAAAGTGAGATAGTCAAGGAGTTCCACAGAGTTGGTAGAGTTGGGAGAACAGTACAAGAAACAAAAAACATCAAGTATTGGTAAAAAAAGATTCACTTCGGGTCACTGAATATCTCTGCATCCCTATGACCGATTTACTTCAGATTTGTCAATCATTCCTTACACTCCTTGGTCATTAGATATACGTTTGGATACACAGCACTTTCATCATCATTTATTTCCGGACTTTTTTTTTTTAAAGAAAATATGTCTTTAGTTTGTCTACATTCCTTTTTAATTTCCTTGTGAGGTTTTATACAGTATAAGGATTACTTCTGATAAATTGTCTTCTATAGGCAATAGGCAGCTATCAAAACAGGGAGGAACTACTGCCTGGAAAGATATTGGAAGCATAATGTGTTGTCTAATGGTAGACCCTGCTGCCATATGGCATCATGAAAATTGTGACCCCAAGTCCCATGTTGCTGATATGACTTTCTGCCTCATTTACACACAATTGCAGGGTCTCAGTTGTTTATCTTACTTTGACAACACAACATATTTATCTTTTTTTCACTCTTGATCTGTTTTATTTTTTCTATTCTCTTATTCTCCAATAACACCAGTTAACACCAATATTAAAGAGGGGCCTTCTCAGATGGGTCCCGCTGGTCGGGAAGATTGTGGAACCCAGGGCCGACCTGACCATCATCAAACTACTGTGGCCTCAACTGACGTCACCACGGTTACTGGAGAATCGGCTCTTTTCACACTTCATTTTTCTAACATTCGCAGCCTGAGATCCAATTTTTCTTCTGTGGAGCACCATTTATTAACAACCTCTTCCCCCGATTTCTTTCTATCTGAACTTCAACTGATCAAAACAGCTTTACCCAAACCTTTTCGAGTCTCCAACTACAACCTTTATACAGAGCACCTCTTTAGGTTCTGAGGGAGGTGTATGTACCTACTGCAACACACATACTGTACACCTATAGCTCGACTCAAGGATCTTGAATCTTCTCTTTATGATGTCATCTGGCTTAAAATATATCTACCAACTATGACGATTTTTCTTTGTTTCCTATATTGTTCTCCCAACTCTACCAACTATTTGGAACTCTTTGACTATCTCACTTCTTGCCATGCGTCGTTGCTATCCACACACCCTAACACCAAGATCTTCTACCTAAGGGATTTCAATGTAAAACACGGAGTGGCTTGGCTCTGAAAGGGATGACCCCGGTGGAGTTGAGCAACTTTCCTTTTCTTTATTTAATGATCTGGAACAAATAATTAAACACCCTACAAATGTTCTAGATCAACACAGTGCATCCCAGAGTGCTAAGAGTGTTGTGCAACGAGCTTGCTGAGCCCCTGAAGGTTCTGTTCTGTACAGTAAATGCCTGGATGAGCAAAAGGTCTCCAGTGATTGGAAAATGGCTTATGTGAGTCCTATCTTCAAGAAAGGCGACTATCACTCCACGAATAACTGTAGACCAGTGAGCATAACCAGCATAGTATGTAGAGTACTTGAGAACATTATAAGAGATGTCATGAAGGAATATCTACTACGAAACAACTACCTTGTAAAGGATTGCTAACACAGTTTTATGCCGCGGCGCTCCGGCTTAACACAATTACTCAAGGTACTGGCTATTTGGACCCAAATTCTGGAACAGGGTGGTAATATCGACAGCATTTACGTAGATTTTACCAAGGCTTTCGACAGTGTACCCCATGAAAGGCTGAAAATTAAACTGGAAGGGTACGGGATTCGGGGAAATGTTCTAGCGTGGGCCAGAGACTTTCTCCATAACCGCAAGCAGTGTGTTGATTAATGGCACGAAATCATCATGTGTACCTGTAACAAGCGGGGTACCACAGGGTAGAGTTTAGGGCCCACTGTTGTTTGTTTGCTTCATAAATAACATGCCAGAAGCTATACACTGCGGATGACGCCAAGTTAATTCGGGAAATTAAGAACCAAATAGACTGTGAAGAGCTGCAGAAGGATCTCTGTGAGCTTCACAGTGGTTGAAGAAATGGCTGCTAATATTCAATGTCACAAAGTGTAAGAGGATGCACCTGGGACGTACCAACAGTAAGGAGACATATCATATGTCACAACGGGATGAAGAAACTGCATTACTAGAGACTGAATACGAAAAGGACATCAGTGTGGATGTTGACAATGAACTGAAATTCTCGGGCCAATGTGAGAAGGTAAATGAGGCAACTAAATTATTAAGTCTTATAAGAAGGTCGTTCAGATATCTAGACGGTCCGTCCCTCGTAACGATCTTCAAGAGCAAGGTGTTTGCCCGCCTGGAATACTGTCACCCATCTGGTCCCTGAGATATGCTAGGGCCTGCAATTGCCTAGTTTATATACCTTACTTCAGATAGGCAAGCGAGGGACCTAATTGAGGTGTATAAACATCTCAAAGGGCACTACTCAGTTTAGTGTTCCTACCTGGAGCTGGCGGATGCTTGCCCCACAAGGGGTCACAGCTCAAGGTTAAAGAAGCTGCAAGTCCAGAAAACTATGAGGGCTAACTTTTTCGGAGTGAGAGTTGTGAACTCTTGGAACAATCTACCAGAAAGTGTTGTGACGGCACCGAGTGTGAGCTCTTTCAAGACCAGACTTGACCAGCAATGGAGCAGTTTCAGATACTTTCAGAAGCCAGTACATGTCCAGTACTTGCCAACAGTGCGTAACAGATGTGACTGATCGCCCAAGTGGCTTACGAGTCGATTAGTGGTGAAGAGTATAAAAGTAAAGTAACAAAAAATATTTAATTTTCTCACATTTTTTATAATTTAATTTCTAATATCCAATCTCTACTATACTCATTACTGGGACATGTTCTTATCCACAGTCTTCATCTGAGTTGACCATAGTTTATGTTACTGTGAACTGTTTTAAGCCATAAATTTATACTTCTCATTCTATTTCTGATGCTTCCAACCCATATAGTCATATTTCCAATACAGTACTTTCAACCTACTAGGTCCAATTTCTGATATTTCCTCCCCATTCATACATTTGCATTAAAATCATACATTATATCTAAATATTCTTTGAACTTTACAGCTTCCTTTGCATTTTTTATGCCTTCATAAAACTTTTCTCAAACAATATTCTCTCTATCAAATGTTGGTGCATAAACCTGAGTTATTGCCAGGTCCATGAGTTTAACATTGAAATTACCTTCACCCCCAAGAAAACTGTCTTACACTGTTCTAATAATAATGTCTCTTGCAGTATCATAATCATACTAGAATAGATATCACATTATGTTCATGTCATATGCTAACCTTTCTCTTGTAGCTCCTGATCCTCCTCCATTATACGGTAGGTAGACCGGTATGAGAACCTCCTCCTTTCACTGGCACTTGAGAATTCTGTCGTGGATTATCTTAAGATTGACATAGATGGCTCAGAACTTCGCTTCCTTAGGGACATCTTCACTACCACGCCCTACCTGCCAAAGAAGATAAAGCAGTTGGGTATGGTGATTCATCCCGGCAAGTACAGTGGTTAGTATTTACATCTTTTGATAAATTTAACCCATAACCATTAATCATATTTTCCGTTTTGGGTCTTTTGTGATGAATAGCATTTAATGTTCAATTGATTATGAAGAATATGGAAAGAATAAATTTGGCAAAGACTTGTATTTCATACAAGCATTCTCTCTCTTTCCTATAAAGTAAAAATAAATAAATTCACCTTGTATTGGCAGGAGAGAGTATTAGAGCACTGGACATGTTCCAAGACCTCTGGAAGTACTTCAAGCTGTTGGAGTGTTACGGCTTCTCACTGATCTTCTCCAACCTAAACGATGTGCCATCTGAACAGTACACCTGGGAGGGCCAGCGACAGTCCAGGAGTTATGAGCTTGTATGGGTGCATAACCGCTATTACTGAGGAGTAAGAATCTTATTATTGTAGTTAAGAGGTAATCTCTGTATGAAACACTTGTAAGTGAAGGCAGTTAAGACTTTTGTGACTTGAAATTAACATTATATATACTGTATATTAACATCTATGAAAGAAAAAGTGTTAGGGTAAAAAAAAATGTGATTAAACTGAGAAGAAAATAGTTTTGGACTAAAAAACTGACATGAAATCCCCTCAGAAAAATATGAACTGCAGGTCAGTGCTGTATTGCATAATGAAACTGACTCAAGTCAAGGAAAGGTGTTCACTTACATACTGTGCATACTTATTTCACCGCTACTCAGCTTACTATTCGATCAGGTGGCTGGTCTGTTCTCGGTTGCAGTTGTAAAGCATTTTTAGTAATGAATTTGCGCTTTATAGCCCTCTATACAGTACCTAACCTTGACAGAACCTGCGTTGTTCAGGGGGTTATGTATTTATGTTCTTGAGGCAAGGTTTCTCGATTGCATCAGTGCAAATACCGCATAAACAGCTACTCGCCCAGTCAATTTAAGGACACGAGGCAAGCTATGAGTCTGATCTGGTGATTAAGGAGTTGATAGGTGCCAGGGATGAACTTCCGGTAGTTTATTTAGCTTACTCTTTTTATAAACTTGGGAACTGCACAACAATCTTTAAATATTTATTTTCCTAATTTACCTAATGGCCACTCATTAGAGGCAGCCATTCCTAGGGAACAAGGCCAGTGAAAGACAACAAAACTCCTGAAGAATGTAAGGAGGGAATCCAGGCAACTTTATTATTCCCTTCAGCAATAGAATGGAATTTCGTACTTGTTCCCACTTTTTTGATCTACAGGTCAAATGTTAAGTGACCTGGAGGTAGGTGGTTCTGGGGATGGGAGATTTTTAATCCGGGTTTGAGATATGAAAATCTGGGTAATTTTCCAGAAATTCCGAGAAAAGTTTCCAGTGCCCGGAAAATTCCGGGGATGGGATATATTTTTCAGGGTTCGAGAGGTCATGGAATGCACAGCAATTTCCTTAACTTCTGAGAATATTTTTCCGTTGCCCGGAAAATTCCAGGGATGAGGGATTTTTCCAGCATTGAGAGATGAAATAATGCATCATTCTGGAACTTCTGAGAAAATTTTTCCATTACCCGGAAACTTCTGGGGATGAGGGATTTTTTCCGACTTTGAGAGAGTTATCTCGTTACCCAGAAATCTTTTAGCCCCAGAAGTGCTCTGCACCAATTATTCCAACTAGCAGAGATATCACTACAGCCATTTAGGGATAAAATAAGGAGTTAATGCAATAAAAATATTAAAATAGATGTGACTCCGTCTTAACGACAGGTGAGGAAAATGAAACCAAGAGGTGGTAACAACTTAGTAGCTGGCAGGGAAATAAGTTTGTCTGATACAAAAGTACGATTCACCTGTTTACGAAATGAATTGTAACAAAAAAAAAAACTTATTTTACTGTAACAGTATAACACAGTAATGGGGAGAACATAATATCTATACCTTTACCAAGTGTGTATCTGTTGGGTGACTGTTACCGTTGTATAACAACTACTTGTGAAGCTGTCATATATGTAACAACCTTCCTTGGTTGTCACCACTTGTAACAATCACTTGTGAAGCATGTCACCTTATATTCTAGATGTACTAAAACATAGATCAGTCTATTGGATTTCCTGGAATGAAATCCAATACGGTCTTTCTTCATTTATTATAAAAGGTTTCTATGTACACTTTCGAAAAGGATTATCACGGTAACTTAATCACTGTACCTATGAGTGTTAAATGAGGATGGAGGCTATCTTATAGTAGCTCTTCTAAATACGTCCAATTGATGCGAGTGATCTTGAGTAGAAACCGCTCGAGGGAGAATGGAATATATCCGACGTCCTCCCTCGAGGAAAGACGGAGTCCATCCACGATGGTTCTAAATAACGTTTTCCTCTAGTGAGTGATGTCAATCTACTGCCACAATAGGTGGCCAAGGAGCCGGATACTTATTCCTGAGTTCAGCACGAAGTGACGTGACTTCCTGTGGACACATCCTATCACGTGCTCTGAACATAAACCTCATAGCTAGTGGAAAGTTACAAGGGGGATAGTTTTACAAGTCTAATGTAATTAACCCACATTTATATAAATACTTCTGCCAATAAGACAGGGGCTAATACAGGGTCTCTTCAAGTTACTTTAGTTAGTTCAGGGTTCACCCCAGGACACCTGTTGACTGGCTGGCAACCTAAGCAACCCCCTAGATCACTGTTGAGAGCATCAACCACAGCTAAGGGTGAGTAGGGAGTGATATTTTTTAATAATTTACGTTGATAGAATAGGAGTGCCCTTGCCTCAATAATGTAAGCCTGGAAGATTGTGTATTCATACATAAAATTTTACTCAATAAAATACTTTTAGAGCATCAACCCCTGAACAAAGCAGGATTCAATATACCCTGTAAATATAGTCAAGGTGACGAAATATAAATTATTCAGTAACAAGATATGCAGTACTTGTTAGAACTATACTTTGAGAAATCTTGGGGTATAGTAACTTATTCTTTTATCCATCACACTTTTGTTCGTTTTCCCACACCCTCTATTTTGCCCATACCATCTACATCTAAATACAGAATTCGCATATTTGGATAGAATATGATAAATATAATATGCAAGAATTAACATTTCAAATACTTTTACCCTCTTCACCACCGATAGGCTCGTTAAGTCTCTCGGGAGTGGAGGGGGTCTGTCACATCTGTTTTGCATTGCTGGCAAGTACTTGGCATGCACTGGCTCCTCAATGTATCTGAGCCCGTTCTAGTGTTCAAGTCTGGTCTTGAAAAGCTCACACTTGTTTGTCACAATACTCCAGCAGTGTTCCAAGAGTTCACAATTCTCACACCAAAAAAGCGTGCCCTCAATTTTTTAGACTTGTGGCTTTTTCAACCTTGATTTGTTACTCCTTGTGGGGCAGGTGTCTGCCAGCTCCTAGTATCGACACTCGATTAGTGCCCTCCGAGATGTTTATACACCTATATTAGGTCACCCCTTGACCGTCTAATATAAGCTTGGCAGTTGCAGGCGTTCTAATCTCTGGGTAACAGGTTCCATAGAGCAAACACCTGTCTGGTGGCCGCCCTCAGGACATTCTCAATCAACTAACAATGTATAGCATATCTCGGGGACCAGATGGGCTATTGCATATCTTTAAAGCCTAAATAATGCAATATACCAGATTAGACTCAAAAGCTTCATCTTCGAAGAAGACTTTACCTTGAACAATTTATTGCCAAAGCCCTTTCTATTTATTTTGATTTTAGGGCATCTTCACTTTATACATTTCCATCTAACATTTTTACAAACATCTTAGGGGAATTGTGAAGCTGCTAATTTGCCCTGCCATGGTTTCAGCCCATAGTAGTACTGTAGGTGGTTAAAAAATATGCTAGTACATGATGGTAAAGTAGTAATAGTGGCTTTATTAGCGTAGTACTGCATGTAGTTGGATTAGTAGTTTTGCTCAAGTATTAGAATTCGATACTGTACAAGTTTCATAGTCGAGTTCATTATTTTTATTTTTTACAGTTCATATGTTTTTGTTTAGGCGATTGCTTTTAGAGACTCCAATGCATTTACTTTTGTTTATGCGAGTTCCTCAAATTCTATTCATTTCATTTTTTAACTTATTATTATGCATTTCTCCTGTAATGGGCAAATTTATATCCCAGGTATAAACTGGCCCTAGCCAGATACCACCCTGGGGGGGGGGGGGGTAAATCTGGCATGGGTTGTTTTACACTTGGGCAAGAATACAAGGCCTTTAGGGTTGCTTACCGGATGATTACTTCAAAAGAAAGTACTACACTTCCAGATTATTAAATTAATTCGGTATTACATATCAATATTACTTTTAGTCACTTTAGTATAGGTGACTAGTTACTACAGTATATATATATAAAGTTAAAATATTAACATACACGCGTTGCCAATTAAATTTTAAAGGCACTTTAGAAAAGGAATGCTCCTCTACTTATGCTTACTATGACACCTGTTATGCCTATGACATGGAATCTAATGACTGCTATTAGTTTTCTAAATACAAATCCTTTACTTCCATTAAATACAACAATTAGGTTTACTTTCAAAATACATTTATAAAAATACTTTATTTATATTAATGCTCTTAACAGATAGTTCACAGAAAGATACAACTTAAATATAAAACAAGAGAACATTTAAAATCCTGTCCCAGCGGCTTACTAGGTGAAACGCTTCTTCAGGTACCCAACAATACCATGCAAGGAGGCTGCATCTTTATCATGGGAATCCGTTTCTGTATCTTCGTAGCCAGCAGTATGGTGGTGGTGGTGGTGGTGTAGGCTGTCAGTCCCGTCGCCCGGCTTGCCGTCATAGTCAGTCCCGTAGCCCGGCTTGCCGTCATAGTCAGTCCCGTAGCCCGGCTTGCCGTCATAGTCAGTCCCGTAGCCCGGCTTGCCGTCATAGTCAGTCCCGTAGCCCGGCTTGCCGTCATAGTCAGTCCCGTAGCCCGGCGTGCCGTCATAGTCAGTCCCGTAGCCCGGCGTGCCGTCATAGTCAGTCCCGTAGCCCGGCGTGCCGTCATAGTCAGTCTCTTGATATTCAATATTCTTGTAGTCAGCATCGTAATCATCCTCATAGTCGCCATCCTTATAATATGTACCATACTTATAGTCAGACTCATAGTAGTTGCCATCCATATAATATTTACCATAATTTTCGTAGTAGTCGCCACCATCGTAATATTTACCACCCTGGTAGTCAGAGTCCTTGCCATAGCCTCCGTCCTTGCCATAGCCTCCGTCCTTGCCATAGCCTCCGTCCTTGCCATAGCCTCCGTCCTTGCCATAGCCTCCGTCCTTGCCATAGCCTCCGTCCTTGCCATAGCCTCCGTCCTTGCCATAGCCTCCGTCCTTGCCATAGCCTCCGTCCTTGCCATAGCCTCCGTCCTTGCCATAGCCTCCGTCCTTGCCATAGCCTCCGTCCTTGCCATAGCCTCCATCCTTGCCATAGCCTCCATCCTTGTAGCCGCCCTTGTAATCAGATTCGTATTGATCATCATCAGAGTCATAGTACTCTTCACCATCCTTGTAGCCAGCTTTGTATTCATATGCCTTGGACTCGTACCCTGAAGTATGGTAGCCATCCTGCTTGTGCAGGTCTGCATGGTCGTAGCCCTTATGATAGCTCTCAGATTGGTAGTCTCCCTTATATGCGGTGTATTTCCCATCGTCCGTGTAACGTGATGGGTATCCGTCACCTTTGTTTACACTTACTGGAGGGTACCTGCCTGGATGAGGGCGGTAGTCATCGTCAGTATAACCAACTCCAGAAGGTTTTTCTTTCGTCTCGAAACTAGAGGGACGATGAAGGTCGACGTGCTGGACTTCTTCAGTAGGTTCTGGTTTGCGTTTGTTATTAACAACGCCAGTAAGGTAAGGGTCTGAATATGCTACATATCCACTACCAATGATAGGTGCAAAAGTTTGTCCAGTGACATCAAAGCCAGAAGGTGCGCTTCCGCCATAGCCAGCAGCGGGTGCGCTTCCGCCATAGCCAGCAGCGGGTGCGCTTCCGCCATAGCCAGCAGCGGGTGCGCTTCCGCCATAGCCAGCAGCGGGTGCGCTTCCGCCATAGCCAGACGAATCGTAAGTGCTACTCGTAAGAGAAGTGTATCCTTGGAATGTAGTTGAACCGATAGTGGTCAAGATGAATTGCAGGTAGAAACCGGTATCCACAAAGGCAGTGGGCAGTCCATAATCACAGCCGACACTCCAGGACACCAAGCCTGTGAGGAGGACGACATGTTTAGAGTTACGCTGTATATGCAACTGATAAACACATCCATTTAAGAACTGGTTTCACCCTTGCATGAATGGGAAAGGAAACTTCCATTGTGGTTTCAGAAGATATACGCAATCTTCAAACAATAGTTTTAGCACCAAGTTTACAATATTGGGAGGACTATACCTGTACTAAAATTTCAATTTACGTAGCAGCTATGCCCTGCCCCGAATGTTTGAGAATGAATGATTAGCAGTGGGGGTGTAGAGCACCTAGGAAGTCAAGTCAATTATTGGTCACCAGTTCGACCCCCAGATGAAACCATGTCGCTCAATACTTCATAACCCCCTTTCATTCAGATATTTCCATTATTAAACAGGCTATTACACTTCCATTTTCGTCCAATTGACATGCAAGATTTGCTTCATCTCCAGAAATAGACTCGTTTACACTGCATGTTCATCTCCAACCTCAAATCCTAACAAATATGGTGAAACTCTTCTGGACAACAGGCTACTCAATAGGGAAAGTTGCAGTAGTTTCTCACTTTAGTCCAGGAAAAAGCAGCATTTATGGAGGCAGTGCCGACTATCAAAAGTGAACAGGACCAGTGTGTATTTAAGAAGCTAGTGCAGTAGCAGCTCTAGAATGCTGTTACATACAGTGGCTGCGGCTCGAGATGCCAATTTTTGAATTATTGAACATTCCATTGCTGTAAATGACGTAATACGGGGTATTCCCCAATTTTCTCCCAAAGATAAACTTCAACTTTATTCCAGAAGATACCATTACTGCTACACAATGGTTACCATTCTGGTGAAGCGATGCACCATATGATAGGTTTATTTTGTTATACGAGAAATGGAATCAAATGCCAGTTTAGTAATATTCAGGTAAATAATTAAACAATTAATATTCACAAGTCCTTATTGCTTACCAATTATACTAGGTTAAAGACAAGTTAAGAAATATTTTATTTAAAATCGAGAGGTTTTTAAAGTATTAGTTTCATATGACCCGTCATAGTAAAGCTTGACCCCAATTATATTTCCAGCTTGCTGGAGGATATCCAAATGTACGCGAGTTCAACAAAAATGAGCTGAAGGTTGGAGGAAAAAATGCATTAGCATGATAGCCCCTCAAGATTTTCACTGCACTAATTTCCTCCTACAGGGCACTAGCTTTCAGATAACTGAACAGTTGACTTGCGAGAATATGCATAATTTTTTTTCCGAAAGTATCGATTGACCAAAAGATTAATTTCACTATCAAGGATGGCCGGGATGGGAGGCGAGACATTTGTCAAGTTAGTCAAATTATAGTATAGGAATATTCAATGACTTACACGCACATCTGCCCTTTTTTGCTTACATACACTGTATACCAATTCAATAGAGAAGGTAGAATATTTGGTTGCACTCGGTACTATACCGTACTAGCCAAGGTAGGAGCACGTTTAATATGCGTCACTGGCTCACCAGATAGCATTAAAGTTGCCCCATGAAGCGAATATATGCCACAGTATACAATACCCAATAACACAAAACCTTACCATGCAGTACAAATCTCCCTCCTGAGGCACGACACACAAGGCCACTTCCTCCGTCTCCCTGTAAGTTTAGAAATAATACTAGAGATGAACAAACCTGTAAACACCGTCATACTACATGTAATTTACTGTATTGTATTTGGTTATGGCAAAGTTAGAAACTATAATTCGTGAAAACTAAATTTTGTTGGGGGAAGGGGGTTTCAAATTTAAACAGTATGGAGCAATCCCACGAACCACAAAATACATACATGACAGGTATCAGACTGTAGTATGCCCTTGCAACAGATAAATCCTTGCAAGAGCTTGAAGAAAGAGCCAAGGGTCTTCGACTCTCTAAACTGTCTCTCACACTTAGTACGGTCGATGATCACGAAGCGGGAGTCTCTCAAGACGGGGCTGAAGTTCTTGTACCGCTCCCAGCCTCCCTATTGGTGTCCAGTTAATCAGTTGTACTACAAGATTTTTTTTAACATGCAGCCAAACACTGAGCAGCTAAGGGATTTACAATATTTCAACAAACTCCTAAAATCCCCGGAATAACAAAATACACTGCTCCAAAAAGTAACTTACAATTTCCTATACCATGTTTTTAATCAGACTGGCTACAAAGGGGAACAAACCCTAATTGCTAGACAACATAACTAACAAGGAGGGTATGGTGGCAGAGTTGGAACACCTAGCCAGTCAGCACCAACCACCACAATGTTGTCCTCCAGATTTATCGGTTACTGTACTTTTTCAAATTAACAGCAGGCAAAAGCTAATATTACAAGGATGATTGTAACAAGAGGTATTCACTGGTATGACTCGCCAAGGTATAAGAACGCAGACACTGCCGAATATCAAACAAAGTGAACTATTTTGTGGACAAATATATATGTCCAAGACCTAAACCACTGGTTCTAGGGATACAAGACCATTGCACATGTACCGTGCTGGGGTTGACAAAGTTATGAAAAAAATCAGAAATTCATTAAGTGGGACAAATGACAAAACACGACCGGATGATGTATGCCAGGTGCAGGAGTCAAGCAGTCAGGTCAGAAGGACGGAGAAAGTTCTAGGTGGAGTTCAAGTTCTGTCAAGTCAAATCTAAAGGCTTTTTAACGTAATGCAAAATCGAAATCGTCACAGGTGGCATATTGGAGCCTAGGCTTGTAGACCGTTGTGCACTCCTCAGTACAAGGGTGTGTATGTAGTAGGCAGCTATCAAACGGAGGTACTACCGCCTGGGAAGATATTGGAAGGTTAATGTATTGTCTAATGGTAGACTGCTGCCATATGGCATCGCAAATATTGTGACCAAGTCCCAGGTTGCTGATCTGTCTTCCTGCCTCATTTACACAATTGCAAGGTCTCGATTGTTTCTCTTAACAACATACATACAGTATAGCGTTTCTCAATTGATTTTTTATTTTACTAATAAATTTTATTTACTATGAATTATTATTAATACATTTTCGCCCCCCCCCCCCTTTCCAGGCCCCATGTGGGTCAGTGACCTGTGCCCGGGTGGGTTTAATCCGTGTAGTAAAAAAAGGGGGAACTGAAGTTATCGGGTCGTGGGAAATCGAATTTAACAACAAAGCTCTTGGGTCCTCCAAGGCCTCATATATCTAGACGTTCCGCCCACCCACCCCCGTAAAGCTCTTCAAGAGCGAGGTACTTCCCATTTGGTCGCCATGATACGCTATTGTCAGTTGACCGAACACGTCCAAAGAAAAGCCACGGACTGGTGCCTCTGCCACGTCAGTTACCCAGAGATTAGAGCGCCTGCAACTGCCTAGCTTAAACTATGTACAGTACTACTGTATAGACGGGCAAGGGGGGCCGACCATTGAAGTTTACGAACAACCGAGGTCACTACAGTACTCAGTCGAGTGTCCATACATGGAGCTGGCGGATGCCAACCCCACTTGACAGCTCAAGATACTGGTAAAAGCCACAAGTTCAGAAAATTGGGAGTAAACTTTTTTTGGAGTTATAATTTTAAACTCTAGGAATAACCTTCCAGTGTCTAAGGTGATGGCACCTGATGCGAGCTCTTTCAATACCAATACTGGCGCAGGTACAGTAGCTAAAGCAACTATCTGTGCAAATGGGGGTTCATATGCGCTGAAATTTTACGTTTGACTAGTGACAACCCACGTATACCAAAATTTATCGTCCATATTCTCATTGTTTCCCACAAATTACGCACAGATAGTTGTTTTAGATACTGGACAGGTATATCCTAGAGCTAGTATTTGCTTACATGTGTAACAGAGGTGACCGACTGCCCAAGTGGGTAACGAGCCAATCAGTGGTAAGGAGGATATAACAAATGTAGAAGTGTACTGAAATTTAGTGATCAATGGTAGAACAGTCGAGACTAAACTTTTTATTTTAAGACTACTTGCAATATTTCTGGTGAAGGTTTAATGCAAATCCATATTTCTTTAGACTACCCAAGTTTCAAGAAGGTAAGTCCAACATTATTCGAAGGGAGAGAGGAAGTACACCATCCGTTTCCTTTGATATTTTATCCTGGTACAACTGCACTACATGCTCTTCAATGAAAAATTACACCACGAAATGGTTCTGCCTGACCTAACTCACTTTTGCTGGCTCAACAAAGCCCCAGGCAGGGACATAACACTCTTGTCGGTCGTGTGTCGATACTTCATTAGGGAAACACACTCTGGCCACGTTAGGTAGTGACAGCAGCTGGTACTCTACCCGTATCAATGAGATGTCTGCCTTCAAGGTGTTCCGCCTGTATTCTGAAAAAGACTAGGATTCAATTTCTACACGAGGTTTCAGATTTGTTTCATCATTGTACATCACACAATATTGTTCTTATACGAGTATTGTTCAGTATATATCGTGAAATCTTAAATCGTATCTACAGTACCAATTTACTAAAAAAAATCCTGTTAGGTCTGAGGAGTTGGATACAATAACTATTGTACTTTTGGTATATATACAGTAAATACTGTACACAAAACTTTGTATTGGATAGTTCCTTAGTGACAAGTACAGTACACTAAAAATTTAGCGATACTCTTGAAACTGGTTTTCAAAACCTCGCTCCACGTACCTATAGCAAGTTTGTTATTATAGGCCTGAAGCAGTATCTTAAAAACAGATTAAAGCAAATCTTAAGTAGCCTTTATTCTGGTGGATAGTGGGCTCTATTTTTTGGGGGGAAGGGGGTGCAAAGCTCCCTTGCTAATACTAGACATAACGCAGAAATTTTAAAATACATGCCAAAATAGCCTCTGCCCCCAGCACACATTTTACGAATTGCAACACAGGTCAACAAGGAATACCATGTACAGTACCACAAATTTATCAATACATTACACTGGTCCAGTTGATTAGGACAGTACATATGACATAACAGGTAGGAAACGAGGCATTCATCACCTACTGGCTGGACTCTCGGACCATCAAGTGGCCATGTGTCCGTCTAGTGGCCAATTTTGAAATTAAGCCAGGGCCGTCTCCGCCTTAGTGACATTCATTATTTTTATTCTCTGTAGCTTGTTTGGGCCAACAACGGTATCACACTGCTGCCTGGTATTACACAACGTTTCTAATTCCAAGTAGTGCATCTCAATATGTGGATGGTTGAAGCACAGGAGCTGGGTGGGATGCAGGAGCCCTGACCACCACCACATTGGCTGACATGTGCAGGCAAGATATCCAGCAAAACTGACCCAACTGCCATGTTTTCCTGTAATGAAGGGCCACTCCAGTACCTATATCCCATGAATCAGAGGATAGAGTGGGGTTCAAGAAATCTCTAAGTTAAAGGCCATTCTTCTCACTAAAAATTCTTGTTCTTAGGGGGTGATAATTTCCTCAAGGCCACAATAAACACTGAATTTTGCTGTAAAAACTGAAACCGCAGTAGGAAAACGCCAAGGGGAAAAAGCTGAAAAGACTTTCCAATCTAACACCAGCAATGGACTTCGAGCTATCAGTGAAAATAGAAAGCTAGTCTGCATCATGTGATACTTGCTTTAAAAAACTTCAGATGTAACCTCTGCTCCTGATAACCTTAGTCAGAAGTAGACAGGTGCACCTGAAGTAGGGGCTAAGGGGACACTACCAGAAACTTCACTGGACAAACTTATAGATAGATACACATTATTTAACCCCATACGAGCAGTACAGAGTCAGAAGGGCTAGGCAACCTATTAATAGCTAAACAAATTCCCCAACACGAACATTGAGCGAGCACTGTCTGGTAGCCTCTGGATGCCGTCCCAGCAATGAGCTATCACGCACTAGCATCTCATTTTCAATGGTATCTTTATAGCATCAATCAAGAGGCTTTAGATTAGGGAAGTCTTAAAAGCCCCCCAGAAGAATACCAGTATGGGGAATGGCATTTCAGGTCTTTAAGGAAGTCGGTGTTGCTAAGGAATAAGCCTCACATCCCTAGTCTACCCTTGACCCCACTTGCACCCTTTAGAAGCAGAGGAGGGTAGCAGGACCAGCTCCCGGAGAAGTGAGCCAACACCGAGAACAAATCCCGAGACCAAAAGCAGAACAAGAGTTTCCTATCAAAGATTAGCCCATAGAATCACGTTTTATCCATACAATCCTGTGTAGAGATGGGTCAGGATCTGGATGGAGGCCCCATAAATGACAAGTGCACTCACTTTGTGGTAAAAAATGGAACCCATGCCTTTCTGGCCACTGGGAGACTGCATCGAATGAAAACCAGAAAGTGGCACTGCCATCGACAGTCGTGTACAGAGAATTGAAACCTCAGGAGGCTATACTACATCGACTTCCATGCAAAACCACCGGTAAGTCAAGAGACTTAAGTACACCTTAAATTTTCACATTTGTACTGCAGCTCAGGTTCATCCGAGGACTCCATCTCATCATTAATGCTACCGAGAGTCCTGGACTGCAACAAGTAGAAGAGGGATATTGTGAAAAGTCTCAGGAGGGGGATGGGTCGTTTTCTGCCACAACCCTCGCCTTATGGAGAACAGCAGCTCTGGTTATATATACCAAGTAGAAATACTAGGATGCATTTTCCCCTTTATATTTTTAAATCTATTTCTTTACTACCGATCCTCACATTCGGTTCATGACAAACTACTATATTTTGTATAAACAATGGTAGCAAAAATAATCCATTAAAATTTTATTCCAACTTGATGCCTCATAGGTCACAATTATATAAATAATATCTCGACCATTACTATTTATCATCATGCAATCTTTGTACCTTGACATGAATAACACACCTGGGTGAGTAGTGATGCTGACAACAGTGACATCATAAGTGGGGTATTTCTCACTATCAGTGGACAGGTCATAGTCACCAACACGAACCAATATATCTCTGGCGGTCAGCTGTCAAAATAGATAAATATATAGGGTTAAGTACATGTATTGACAAAAACACTTAAAACACTTGATATTAATCTGCCAAGAATTGGCTAACGAGCCAATCAGTGGCGAAGAGGACAAGAAATAAACCTTTTCTTCGTTTCCCGCATTTGCCATTTTATTCTGGCTACCGACAGACGATCTTATTGAGCTTAGGGTAACCTCCCACAGCCAAAGGGTCAATATACTACAACAGTACATAATTTTTTTTCTTTAAGAACGTTAAATCCTCTTAACCAAGTGATGGGTATACAATATTCTTAAACTGACAAGTCTTTTACATTAATATTCAGACAAATTAATCCTTCCCCCCCACTATATTATGAATGGAATATATTTTAAGTTCTTATTCATGCAAACATTTAGCATGCAACTAAGCTAAAGAATAACCATTTTGCCAGTCCCACCAATTTTGAGGTAGTCTTGGCTACTACCAACAAAACGGTTTGTAAACCAACAAAATGGTTACATGCAAACTTGCGATTCAAGTACAGGGTAATGCTCAAGGTCTTGCAAGGTGGAGGTCAACGTGTTTTTTTTTTTTACGGGGGATTAGCCCACCCGGGCACAGGTCACTGACGCACATCGGGGCGAAAATGTAATAATAATAAAGAAATACAAAAATGAAAAAAAATCAAAAGTGGGAAATTATATACTGTACATATGTATGTTGCGTTGTCAATAGTAAGAGAAACAATTGAGACCCTGTAATTGAGGCAGAAAGTCAGATCAGCAACCTGGGACTTGGTCACAATTTTTGTGATGCCATATGGCAACAGGGTCTACCATTAGACAATACATTATGCTTCCAATTTCTTCCCAGGCGGTGCTGAAATTAAGAATGACGCCAAGTTTCCAACAAACCCAAGTGCATACATACAACGACCCATAGACTTTTTGCCAAGGAATTCGGTTGCCAGAAGGATGGGAACATTATACAAACCGGACCAAAATCATTTATATTTTTGATCAAGGTGTGACTGATCGATTGCCTTCACTCAGGGTTCCTAATGCTGTATGACCATTTGCTCCGAGGTGGATTGCGTTCTCATTAAATCTACGTCACACGGAATGTGATCCCTCGCACACCAAGGAGATTTTTTTTTTAAAGATCTATCTGGAATCTAGACCAAAACTAACACGTCTGACATGTTCAATAAAAAGACCTTCAACTCCATACACCCGGGCAAAAATTGCAGTTTAGATCAACTTTTTTCTTACCAAAATGACTTCGAAAGACTACAAATAGAAATAAACTACTGTATTTCAAAGATTACCAAGAAAACTTCATTAAATATTTTAAGTTTTTCAACAATTGCAATTAACTTACATGTTGGATGCAGTGGGCGACAGTGAGGACATGACGGTCTGCCACCACGACTCCTCCACACAGATACTCCTGCTTGATTGACAGGATAGCCACCTGTAACATAAGCGAAATTCAGTTGTATGATCATCTCTATCACACCCACCTACCCATTTAACTACAGTACTGTACTATAATAAATCATTGACAGCTAACGAGCCGATCAGTGGCAAAGAAGATAAAAGATTAATACAGTCCAGTATTAAGGAATTAGCTACGAGGAAAATTTATCAAACATCAACTGGTAAAAGTAACATTTGTAATCGCGTGCTTCTACAAACGAAGTATAAAGGACCGAGCTAAATATTCTGAAGCCTCTGCTCACAGCAACCGGAAACCATCCCACAGTTAGCAAGTACTCACATGCCATGGATACTCTCCCTCCTTGGCAGGGCTGGTATCACTGCTCAGTTTAGAGCGGGGAGCATTTAGTGGTGCTCCCAGTGATCTTCCACAATCAGTGTTCACCTGCAAGAATGAAGGAGATTTGGTTAGTATTGTTAATTGTACAGTCTCGTTCAAGATTCTTCTAACATACCTGGAGACAACTGGCAACTAAACGCCGTTTGTTTACTATAGTTCGCAGTAAAAATGGATGAATAAATGCAAGTGATCGGTAATTGGTTACTTAGTTCCCGTTGCTTAATTTACTGGTTGGGCTTTGTGGTCTCTTGTTGTATTATACTACGTACTATAGTAAACAAACGGCCTGGAGTTGCCAGCTGTCTCAAGTAGTGTTCGAAGAAACTTGTACGAGACTACAGGTACATTACAATTATTCGAGGTCAGTATGCCATCATTGCCTTCCTCTGAAGATTTAACAGAGGTTGCAATTAAAATTAAATTCGTTTCTAGGATTATTTTACTTCCAAAACACAAACTTATATCTTCAGACCTAGAGAATATTAAATGCTTTAATGAATACAAGAGCAGTTGTCAACCACCAAGTATGGTAGGAGTTTCTCGAGACCTACTGGGGAACTCTGGTGAGAAGCGGAGCCGCTGAAGGAGCGAGCCTTTGACGAAGCCGAAGTCTGGTTATTGCCGTCGAGGGTGGCTGATGGCGCAACTGTGAACACAGTCACTGAAACCACAATCAGTATCAGTAATCAAGTCGCAATATTCATAGTTTCTAATGCTTTTACAGAAATTCAACAAAACTGGTATTTTCGTACAGCACAACTTCTGATCCTGAACTAACAAACTACCGTTATAATGCCTATCTTCTGCAAAGTTTAAATTAAAGTTCGAAGTACTGTACATCTATTCTAAATGGATTTGTAATATTGTACCTGTACTGTATATCCCTTTATTAATTAAGCGTTTAGTTTTCCCTTACAAGATGTCAGAATTCTGCAGGCGAATAAACCAAGTACTCTACAGAGATGCGAGAGCAAAAAAGAATACCTAAACAAGAAAATTGTGGAAAATATAACAAAGTTTGAGGCAACTAAACACTATCTTTAATGCCTTATATACCTCAAAATTACAGAGTGGGATAAAAAGCTTTTAAATTCCACTGCAGAAAGAAGTGCATCACTCTAGTAAACATTGAAATCCGCAGTGACACGACTGTTCGAAACCAGTTTAATAAAAGATCAAGAGCACAGGTATAGATAGCATCTCGGCAGGGTTTGAAGACGATACCACTATATTAAAGACACCAATAACACCTAATCTCTCCATTTGTACCAATGTTATACCGGAAGAGTGTAAGTTCGCCAAAATAACATTATAAGAAAGGGAACAGTTTTTATGTTGGTAATCACAAGCCAGTATCCTGTCCACAGTTTCCAATGTTCTTTAAAGAACCGCATGTTCAGGTGGAACGATATCTCCGTGAATATAATATTTTGTACAGCTATCAATCAAGCTTTAGGGGGCTCACTCAACTGACACCAGCCCGATGCTTCACACTGACCATACAAGATCCCAAACAACTGCAAATTACATGCTGGACTAGCAAGTCTTTGGCACAGTTGATCATGATACTGTACAATAAAAATATGCTGCACCCTTGGCTTCGAAACCATCCGCATCGATCACTGCGACAGAAGTCGTGACGAGTGTTTTCAGATTTCTTGGTCCGGGTTATCATTGTAGAACCCCGTAAATGTGCAGAATAATCTTTGAGAGAGTACATGTACAGGGGTATACTAAACAAAAATCTGCAGGCTATCTGCACCGGGTCTGTCTACTGGTTTAAAAACAATCTTAACAGTACTGCAGAAAGATCTCCAAGAGCATCAAGAATAGTCGTGGAAATGGCTGCCAAGATTCAAGATCATGAAGTGCAAAAGGATGCACGTGGGTCACACCAATAGTAAGGAGGCATATCACGTATCGCAATAGGACGAAGAGACTGCATTGATTGAGACCGAATGTGAAAAGGACCTGGGTGTGTATGCCAACAATGAACTTAAAGTTCTCGGGCCATTGCGAGAAGGCGAGTCGGGCAACGAAACAAGCAAGTCTTATAAGAAGGTAGTTAAGACATCTGGATGGTCTGTCGCTTGTCACGATCTTCAAGAGTGAAGTAGTCTCGTTCAAGATTTTTCGAACACTGCTGGAGACAGCTGGCAACGAAAGGCCGTTTGTTTACTATACAGGGTAGTACGTAGTAAAAATTATGAATAAATGTAAAAGTGATAGGCGATTGGTTACTTCGTTTTACATTGCTTAATTTAATGGTAGGGCTTTGTTTCGTATTGTATTATATTATAAGACGTAATATAGTAAACGGCCTAGAGTTGCCAGCTGTCTCCAAGTGTTGGAAGAAACTTGATCGACACTACTTCCCCGTCTGGTCCCCGAGGTATGCTAGATTCAATTGACTGAAAATGTCCAAAGGAGGGCCACCAGACTTGTGCCTGGTCTACGGAACCTCAGTTACCCAGAAAGATTGGAGCGCCTGCAACTACCGAGCTTATACTACAGATGGGCGAGGAGCGACCTAATCGAAGAGTCAACATCTCGAGGGGGGCACTACTGTCGAGTGTCCAGATCTGGAGCTGGCCGACGTCGCCCCACAAGGGGTCACAGCTCAATGTTGAAGACAAGCTCTGAAAATAGAGTAATCTTTTTTGAAGCGAGAATTTTAAACTTTCAAAACATTCTGCCTGTGTGCTGTGACAGCACATTGCGAGTTCATTCGAGACCAGACATTACTGAAACTGGCACAGATACATTCTGGTGCCAGTACATGCCCAGTATTTGCCAACAGTGTTTAACAGAGGAGTTTCAATAGATTTGACCTTGGCAACAGACGTGACCAACTGCCCAAACAGCTAACAAGCCAATCGGTGACAGAGGATAAAAGTAAAGGATGGGTTAGGTATCAAGATCCCACCCATCATGTTCAACCATATTCTTCACCACAGATTAGCTTGTTTGCCACTTCGGCTGTCCGTCACGTCCGACATCCACTGTTGAGATACTGGGCATGCACTGGCTCCTGAATATATCAGAACTTGCACCAGTGTTGGTCAAGTCCGGCCTTGAATGAGCTCACGCTCGGTACCGTCACAACGCCCTGGCAGATTTTTTTTCCTGGAGTTCACAACTCGCTCCGGAAAAAAAAAATTGCCCTAGGTTTTCAAAACTTGTGGCTTCAACATTGAGCTGCGACCCCATGTGGAGGCGACATCCGCCAGTTCCAGGTTATGAACATTTGACCGAGTAGTGCCCCCAGAGGTTTATACTCTTCAATTAGGTTACCCCATGCCCATCTGTAATACAAGCTAGGTAGTTGCAGGCGCTCCATCTTTCTGGTTAACAGGTTCCGTAGAGCACGCACCAGTCTGGTGGCCCTCCTTTGGACATTTTCAATCAATTGAAAGTAGCATACCACGGGGACCAGACGGGTAAGCACCTCGCTCTTAGTGTGGAGGAGTGGACCATCCAGATAAACTAAACGACTTTCTTTCAAGACCAGTTTCTTTGCCTGGTTATACCAGAGATCTCCTTTGTTTAACCTACATTATGTCCAGTTTCTACCCAAGTAACTTCCCTGTTGAAGCGATACTCTTCCCCTGGTAGAGCATGCACAAGTCTTTTCTCCGTGATACAGTTGTAATGCTATAGTCACGTGGATGTATTAATGCACCGAGATGTGAAGACAAAATTCTGTTTAAACGATTTTAAGTTAGGAATTATGTAAAGGTCTAAATAGACAACTTAAATTTCTATATTTCTGAATCTACTAGAGGATAGCAGCAATGTCAATGACTCACCATTGGAAGTTACTGCAGATGCAGCCTGGACCCCAGCACCGTCACCTTCAATAGAGAGACTGTCACTGCCTGCTGGGGGGATGAATATAATTTGTTACACTGGGGGGGACAGAGCGACGATTCATTCATATGTTAGACCTCCCGCTATTAAATGTTGCGCTAGCATTATGCAACTGGTTATTGTACCACCGAACTGGTGGAGGTTCTCCATTGTCTGTTCCTCTTAACAGGTTATGTGGACGTTTAAGTCCAGAAAATATTGAACGTGACCCATAGCTAATTAGTTTAAGAGTAGAGTAGAGTACAGTACAGTACTATACCTGGGGAAGCTCCACCAGTTTGCCCGATTTAGTAGATTTTCCAAGTAATAGAAGAGTTCCCCCACCCGATAACTAAAATGGCCAAAATCAAAGAAACCTGCCGCAGCCAATTTGCAAACTTGCTTACCCTCGAGCTTACTCGATAGTTATGTAAAGGATATGTCCATTAGCGTTTAGAATAAAGTTAACATTGAATAATTAATTAGGATGTAAAGGACATTCTCTACTCAAAATTCTCAGATTTCCAAGTATCACCCAGATCAAGCTTAAGCGACTATTGTAGAATCATTGTCAATTAATAAAGCGAGATTAGAGCTTAAAACACTACAGTAATTAACGATATTGGCAGTTGAAACAAATCTCAATCACGTACGTCTCCATTTTCTCAAAATTAATAAAATTTTAAGGCATAGCTAATAAAAATTAAGTCTTTTGGGTTTGACCTATTTTATACCATTGTCAGCTTATTATTACGGTGTTAAGACCTTTACTGTCCAGTGTTCTAGGGGATACGTTTAAACCATGCTAATCTAAAAGTAGTTGGGCATTTCCCTTCAGAACTCACTTGTAGCATCTCGCCGGAGTCTCTTTTTAATGTCATTTGCTTCTGTCGTGATGAGGAGCGAGTCTACTAGCTCATTACCACGTTCACCTGTAACAAAAAAATGAAGATGAGCAAGTTATGAAGAAATTGTGACGGGCTTGCAAATAGATGTACAAAGTTCAATAGCTTCGAGTCGCTTACTGTCGTAGTGGTCAGGCAGGCCAAGCTTGTCCTCGTGGCCGGGGTCGTCAAAGCTCACGTGGGCGTCAGACGGGTTGAAGGACAGCCTGTATTTATACAACTCTGCGTCTGGTGCCTTGTTTTCCATCTGCATTCTGAAGTTGATGTTGATAATCACAGCTGTCGAGAAAAAGTAAATGGATGCGGTTTAAGTTACATAATTTTTTGCTTCTGTAGTTTAACGAGAATTCACTTATCGCTCAAACTAGTGCGGTTTATACAATTCCGTTCTAGGTGTACGCTCATTAGGAATGAAATACAAAATAGCATGCAACACAGAGCATGGAGTGCTTAAGCTTTAAGATCTACATTAGAAACATTCCACGAACAATAATAATTAGTGGTCATGGTAGCGCCAGATACAACATCAAAAGGAGGGTACATCAATAATTATGACCCTACTCGATACCAGAGGTCCTTTCAGCATTACCCACACCCACCACCTCCAAATGGTATCAAAGATTCCATAATAGTAAAAAACGTCACGAAAGCATCCATGAATTAAGAAGTTTGGATTTTTAACAATTGAAAGTGGGTCCCATAGGAATAACTGCCCCTCTGCCTGCAGGGACAGTGGATACAGCACACTGTATACTATGCCTACGTTACACAAGGATGTAACAGGGCCAGTACTGCACCCGACCGCCTTCCTTCACTTCCTATTTTCATTTACAGTTGGGTGAACTGGGAGCAATCGTGCTTTAAGTTTGTCCTCTACACTCTACAACCTCACCTTTATCATTCTCATCACGGTCTTCAGGGGAGCTTTTTCTGTCCTTGTAGGCGACGAGAGCGTTCACAAGTGTGTGGAGAGAGCAGCAGGCCCAGGCACGGGTGTCCCAAGTCTGGCCACACAGGTACTGCAACACATTCAGGAAGTTATTACTTAACGCAACATAACTACGGCAATGAGGGAAAACTTAGTTATGACGTCCACGCTAAATATTCTCGAGAAGGTAATTTTCTAACCGTTTCAGTGCAGATTGTGCGCGCTACATCATGATCAGTGGCGCTTTACCAGTGTTTATGGTTAGACCTGGAACACTTTTCAGACATTTTAATAATTTAGGTTGAAGAGTAAACACAACCGAATATACCAAACTAAAAAAATCTGAGGACTTCGCAGAGGAAGAGAATTTGTCACGGTTAAAACCACAATTTTTGATCATCTCGGGTCACAAGATACAGGCGCCCCAATGAATACTGGAGTAGGAAATTTGGAATCGGATGACACGTTAGGGATTATTGTTAGTGGTGCCAATATTACTTAGATTAACGAATTTTCTAATTTTTTCTCTAACTGCTAAGATTAGACTTGCCTGAAGATTAACCATCCTATCGTTACCCGAGTGGATTAGGTTAGGCGATTTGATCTTCCAGGCGAAACCAGCTGGGGGCGTCCCCTCTTCCAGGCGAAACCAGCTGGGGGCGTCCCCTCTTCCAGGCGAAACCAGCTGGGGGCGTCCCCTCTTCCAGGCGAAACCAGCTGGGGGCGTCCCCTCTTCCAGGCGAAACCAGCTGGGGGCGTCCCCTCTTCCAGGCGAAACCAGCTGGGGGCGTCCCCTCTTCCAGGCGAAACCAGCTGGGGGCGTCCCCTCTTCCAGGCGAAACCAGCTGGGGGCGTCCCCTCTTCCAGGCGAAACCAGCTGGGGGCGTCCCCTCTTCCAGGCGAAACCAGCTGGGGGCGTCCCCTCTTCCAGGCGAAACCAGCTGGGGGCGTCCCCTCTTCCAGGCGAAACCAGCTGGGGGCGTCCCCTCTTCCAGGCGAAACCAGCTGGGGGCGTCTCCTCTTCCAGGCGAAACCAGCTGGGGGCGTCTCCTCTTCCAGGCGAAACCAGCTGGGGGCGTCTCTTCAGGTGTCCCTTTACTTCAATATGCAAGGGTCCTTCACCTCGACACTATACAACACCGTCTGAACAATTACACAAGTTAAGTCGGTAATATAAGAGGACTACCTGACTAATGCCGACATCTTCCCCACTCTGTAGTAGCAACAGTCTCGTCAGCGCTCCGTAACAAACCAATTAAGTAGTTACAACATCAAACGCTCTCATTCACGCTCTTCAAACCGTATTCTATTCCAATTACATCTAGAAATTAACTATTCAACTACTCTTGCATTCCAATAAAGCCACGGAGCGCCACACGCTGTCGAAATCTAAACTTTTTATTCTTACTTTTGAAACCAATTTTCGTTTTAAAGAACAGGACTTATTGTAACAACAAAAGCGACACCAAGCATATAAAATGTTAAGAAAATTAAACCACTTCATTTTACAATACAAATTATTCTGTGATCTTCCCTCCATCCCAACGGGTGGTTCAACCTGTATGACCTAAATGCAAAAATTATTCCTTTTCCAAGAAGAGGGAAGACGAAGAAGAGGGGGAGGTGGAAGACGAAGAAGAAGAGGGGGAGGTGGAAGACGAAGAAGAAGAGGGGGAAGACGAAGAAGAAGGAAGAAGAGGAAGAGAGGTTATTTACTTGCCATTAAAAACAAAAGATGTACCCAGGTATTACCATTTTTTTTTCATTTTCCAAATTTAAATTAAGAATTACAAAAAACTACGCGAAAACCAAACATCGTAGTTAATTAAAAAATAACTCAACTTTTGTCGAGCTGCAGGATATAAAATTAATGATGGGCATTTCAGACTTGCCCGAACCTTCAGTGTCTAGAAAGTGAATTCTGTGTTTGGAGACATTCACCCCCTTAAGTCAAGACCACCTAAAGTTTATAATTATGTACGGTCAACTCTTGTACGTTTATTACGCCTATACCACACTGATACAGCACAGTTTAGCACACGCAAGGTCAGTAGAGTACACGCGGCTACATACTCTACTCGTCCACTTTGTTCCCTTTCATCCAACCCCCCCTCCTCTCCCCCACTCAGTCTTTGGTCTTTCCCTCGCTCAGTTTTCAGACTATCCCTCTCCCTCATCCCTTCTTTGGTCTTTCCCCTCCCTCCCTCATCCCTTCTTTGGTCTTTCCCCTCCCTCCCCCATCTCTTCAGTCCTCACTTCAACATCACGGATTTAAGCTTACTTCAGTCTAGTGCTCGTCGCTTACGCCGCAGCTTAAATCCGCTTTCTAATCATCCTTCCTCATCGCCAGAGTAAATATCAAGTACAGTTTATGTTTACCGCACTCCTTTAAATCGAAGAATTAAGAGTTGATCCGACACGACAAAGTATGTTACGGTGGCGCGCTCTGGTTGTGTGTTTACTAGACTAGGGTATGTAGGTAGGTATAAATAGCACTGCAACTTATTACTTTCCCGCTCAACAAGTAAATTATTATTCGGGAGATAATTAGAAAGTAAAATTCAACAATTTATTGGCATTAAATAACTCACGTCAACTATAAATAGTTTCATTTCAACCTACGCGAAATACCAGTTTTGAAAGATCTTCCCAAACTAAAGTTATCGTTGAAGGTTCATCTCTTCCCATAACGGTCTACTTATGACGGCCCAGCACATGATAATGGGCAGGGGGCAGCGAGGTGTATGGGGAAAAGGGAAGAATCGTCTTTCGTGCTAAAAAATGTAATTACAAGTCCTCCAGATGGAGGGCGGGCAGACGCAGAAGGGAAGGCCCTTCATCTCTTAGCACCACGGGGTTACCCTCCTGTGAGCGGTCGTAACCTAAATAGTAGCCACAATCTGCAGCCGCATACCAGTTGCCTCAGCTGTTAATACAATTACTAACGCTGTCATCCCTGATGACAGGACGGACTTTTCCAGTTTGTACTCAACTTCACAATTTGGCATAAAGCTTACAGATGACAATTTCCATCACCCAAACTAAGGATTGCATCGTTTTCAATGTTTGTTTATAAAAATGAATGGGTTTATTTTTGGTGTTAAAATATGGTCAAATTACATCAGTAGATGGCAAATGAAGTATTCAGTCAATTGAGTTGTTACAGGAGTTGTTACTCCCGCCAGCCACTGATAAACTGTACATAAATCGCTCAACTCCTATACAACTTCTGCCTTTACCAATAAAACTGCTACTTAAAGGCGATATACTCCGTTTAGGGCGTCTTAAATCTTATTCCCTTCCGTGTGGGAGTAAAGGTAACGGCAGTGTCCCTAAACAATGGTAAGTGACCCTCCCCTCATGCCACCCTACACTGTTGTGGATCCCCTCTCACATAGGCCTCAAAACATGACAGTTGATGCCCTCGCCAAACTCGCGTCTAACAAAGACACCGTGGAATACAATTTGGGTCTGTCAAAAAGAACCCTTAAAACTGTAATTAGGAAAGAACTTATTGAGGAGTTTGACGCAAGTCGACAAGTGCAAATAGGCACTAGTCGATCCACAGTTTACCATGATGATATGTATCAAGTGAAACATGTATATGGAGCAAGTAACAAGATCACAAGATGTTGTAACCGCTAGATTAAGGTTAGGATACAAGTACCTTTGGCAGTATGTTCCTCAAGCAGATGTAAACAAAACTAAATGTAAAGTGTGTGGCCATACATATGGCCACACACTTGAACACTACGTCCTCGACTGTGTGAAGATAGAACCTTTTAGGGACAGGTCCAAGCACACTGTGTGAAATGGCACAACACTTCATCTCTAATGACAAGATAGCCGACATATTAAGATTGTATCCACTTTTTTGCACCTAGTAACTATATCAGTTCTCATGTACAGAACCAAATACGCAATGTGCTTGAATACCTCCCACGTAAATGTGAATAACAAAGTGTGAGGCCAGACATACTGCCTCACACGCCTGTTCTCACGCATTTGTGAATAAGTTACCCTTTATGTATAGAACTAAACAAATAATGTAAATGAAATACGGTGTAACTTTCAGTGCCATAATATCCTGACAACCGGGGTTAATTATTATGACCCTTTGTAAACCCTACTCTGTAATCCTTTTGCGCTACCGCTCACAGGATGAGTGTGGGGTGCACAATAAAGTAGCCGCTGCAAGCGGCAAAATCAAAACAATCACCCTACACGGGCAGCTTAACTCGTACCGTCCACCCAAACACTTGCCATGAAGACTAAAGCAGAAATTCCTTTCAACATCTCTTCATTGCAGTTAGAAACCGTGTTCACTACAAGAGCCAGCATCAAGCTCTGCGGGTCCGCTGTTGCGAATTTCTATATTAAATATTACCCGAGAAACGTGTAACTTTAAAGGCAGTAATGTCTTGCACTGTACAATCACAAGTTATAAATAAAAGCAAAAAAACAAGGCCATTAACCAACTCTGGTCTTCACTAGTTTAAAACGTTATTGACTAAACAGTGTAAAGGTCAAGTGATTTCGATCAATTTAATAGCGTAGTATAATTAGCAAATTCTCAATCTTGGTCCGTAATAGACACGACTTAATTAAAATGAGATTGGCTACTTTCTATATCTTGGAGTTTGCGTAAGCATCAGTACATTTAGGGTAGAGTTTTAAGAATGTGACATCTGGACTGACTGAGTTTGGGAAGTTCAGTGTTTTAGAGGACACGCACCGCTGTGTCTGGCTCCTGTTGATCTGTCACCGTTTTCCTCCCCCACACTCCACAGCCAACCCAAACCCCCTCAAGAAATCCCACTTCACCCACATTCATTCATAGGCGTCACTGACTTCTACCCCTACCGAGTAGCAACCCTATATAAATGCTACTCGGCACAGTAGCTTATATACATAAGCTACAACACCCACCCCCCCATACATCTCGCATTCTAAAACTCCACCCCATCTATATCACACCAATACAACCTCGACCTTCCTAGCTTAAAATGGTCATTAAAATCTTTGCTAAAAAAAGGAAAAACACCTACACTGTTACTTAAACTATGCAGCCTCAGGAAACGGCTCATATTATTCTAGGATAAAACAAGAGTAATTCAATGCTGGTGGCGGGTGTGTCGGGCCCAGCGGCGGCAGGAGGGTGAACAAAGGCGAGGAGGTAGGCGCACGCTGCACAATATACCCGCTTCTCTTTTGTCTGGCATCTTGCTCACATGAAATCTCCGCTTCTTAAGTTCCTTGTAATCAATGCCATCTACCACGTGTCATTCTCAGCTGCAGGAGGAGGATAGGGGAGGACTGCCTTCTCCATGTCACGCGTCGCCACTTTACTAAAAGGCTGCTACGACGAATTTAACAGCTGTACAAATCTCGTAAAGTTGATATTGGTATCTTTTTTTTTTAGTTTTAACACGGTTTTCAGGCCATTAACTAATTTTTCTCTTTATTATTATATAGTAATGTTAAGACCTTATGACTACTGTACCTATCTTAACCAATTCTTAGCACGCTCGGCCTCCCAAGACTGACATTAGCTGCGGAAGGGTGACGAACCGGTTTTAATTAGCAAAAAAGTAACACGCGATTTCCTACACTGTCAACACTGCCCCCTCTCTACGTTTACATTACACCTCTATAAACCTCCATTATTTAACTTGGCTTATTTACTTTTAACCAGTTCTTACACTGACCATCTCTTGGCACTTCCTTCACGTCAACACTAAAACCTTTACCTGCATCTTTTCAAAACCTCACATTCTAACATTTAAAACGTTAAATTTCCTCAATTATATACAGAAAGACCGACATTGTCCATTTTATTACAAGTTAAAACTACAGTTATCACTTTTATACTTTAAAATAAACTTTGGTAGTGCAGGTTCTCGGTATTTTTATATTTCCCAAGACTTAAATCAGCTTGGGTTAGGTTAAGTTGGGATAGGTTAGGGAGGTTAATCATCAGGAGAATTAAGCCAGTGTTTTAATATCCACGGGGTCCCAACATTGTATTAAAACCTCGTATTAACCAATGCATTATTTACCTTTTTCTTGCCGATTCTGGTGAATATAGCGGCGGAGTAGGTGACGCTGGGGCCGGGACAGACGGTGGCAGGGGTGCACACACTGGAGTGGGGGCAGAGGGCGGGCTGACGGTGCGATGAGTGGTGGTCGCGGTCACTGTAGCCGGGCCATGGCTCCACCACCTCGCTCTCACCCTCAGTAGTAGAGTTCTGCATTCGGAAACTTCAAGTCACTACTTACCTATAGTTGCGTTCATGTTACAAAAACTCTACAGTACCCACTAGAGGGGCCCTCACAGTACCCAGTTCATTACACACCAGACTAGAGACACCAATATGAATCAAGACTTGAAAAAATCAATTCACAGTTTCGTAAAAAAAAAGATTTACAACTTTTTATATACTGAGGATCTGGAAAGTTACAAGTACCAAATAAACCTTACACCCGTGACATTGACTTTTAGACTGCAGGACAGTGTAGTTAGCAGTCAGGAGTTTCACACCGTCACTCCAAGGCGCCAACAGCTTTAGGTCAACTCCATCTTCACAAGATCAAGTTCATCGGATTCTCGACTCTTCCTTAACACTCATGGAATTCACTCGCACATTCATTGAATCTCAGCAGCTTTGTTGATCTAATTAAACATCCATACAATATTCAGGAGGGAGATAGGTCATTTGCCCGGGATAAGATAGATCTAGCAGGAAAAACAAACTCCAATTTACGTGTTTATAACACCCAACACGCCCACTAGCAGATCTGACCTTTAAATTTTTGTTTACCTATATCGGTAGCATCTGTAACTGGTGCGTGGTAAACGGATACAAATCATAAATGATACATCAACGACTTCACTTACACTGACAAACAACAAGAAACATTAACGAGCTTTAAGCAGAGTTAGCATAAAACGATATGTCAAGGATTTGGATTATGAATTACTTCGAGCTATACTCCGAGCCATTAATCTCTTTGTTAAAACCCGTGTTCAACGGGATTAAGGAACGCCAGAGGAATGATTACGATCAACTGGGGAGGAAATGGCAATGAACGTTCGTGGGAGTCGAACATTTCAGTCCTACCTCCAATCGTACTACGAGGAGTTCGTTTTCTGTGACTGGTGAAACTAATACACCTTCATTTTAAGAAATTCTCCAAGTTCTAAAACCAAATTGGATCTTCAAAATGCAAACAAATACCGAGAACATTCTTTCACTACAGACGGCAAGGGGTGACCTAATTGAGGTGTATATAAGCATCTCAAGGGGCACTACTCAGTCGAGTGTCCTTACTTGGAGTTGGCGGACGCTCGCCCCGCAAGGGGTCACAGCTCAAGATTAAAGCCGCCGCAATTCCAGAAAACTGTGAGGGCAAACTTTTTCGGAGTGAGAGTTGTGAACTCTTGGAACAATCTACCAGTGCTGTGACGGCACCGAGTGTGAGCTCTTTCAAGACAACACTGGAGCAGGTACAGTCACTCAAAAAAGTCCTGTCGCGAACCACGACGCAGACTCGTGAACCCGAAGCAGTACACATTATTCTGTCTATAAATGCTTCGGATTCAAGAGTGAATCTCGGGGTTCATGGTTCGCGACAGGACTTTTTTGGGCGACTGTACATTCAGTAGCCGGTGCATGCCCAGTACTTGCCAACAGTGCGTAACAGACGTGACCGATCGCCCAAGCGACTAACGAGCCGATCAGTGGTGAAGAGGATAAAAGTAAACCTCCGCGCACGGTAGTTACGTACACCATCACCACGATTACTTAAGAAATGAACACTTACTCTGTACATGCAAACTAACGAGGGTCTGGACATACCTTTAATCAGATTACGCAAACACGTTTGCCATCTCAACAGCTGAACACTGGCCACACGATAATTAACAAGTTCATGGAAAATCCGAGAAAACGAACTATTTTTAGCAGTAAATGAATAAATACGAGCTTGTGCGGCGAATTTAAGTGCGACTTAATAACTTCGTGGCACCTTAAATATGGTCGAACATTTATAAAAAAGCTTCGCAAAAAACCCCCCACTAAATAAAGAATCTTTGGACTCTTTATAAGTCCTGGGGTAAACAATAGTGGTTCTAGACCTCACTAACTTACCTGGTTTGTGTAGAACCAGTTTGTGGGAGATGGTGTGAAGGTTGTCGGCAGCTTGGTCTTGTTCCTGCAGCACACCGTCCCTTCACTGCCCACCGCATGGCCGCACACGTAGTACTGTAACGCACAACATGTATTAAAAATAATGAAATTTATCAAATTCACCTCCAGGCTGCCAAATTTTGGTGTAAATATATCAACGAATAAACAGACTTTAGATTAAATTTTTAATTTCTATGCTAATGAAGAATGAACTAATTTAAGGTTATTATCCAACTCCTAAAACGTCTTCAACATAATTTAATGAAAGCGAAATCAACTTTCTAAAGTCACTTGGTGTCAAGTAAAAGAATAATCAAATCGCACTTTTGCCAACCTTCTGTCCAACTGAAGCACATTATAACCCTATTACAGGTGCGTGAAACTTAATTATAACTATTGCAGATACAGGAGGCTTGATTATATAACTACTACAGATGCGCAGAGTTTAATTATATTTTGACCATTCAGCGGCCAATAATTATAGTAGTTGTAACGAGCGTTCAGCTCCGACTCGCCGCCGCCATTGTTTATTCTCACGTAAATAAATCTACCACTTTAAATATACATCTGTTGTATTTGGACGATTCACCTTGGGTCGAGATACTCTTATTAAATGGATTAAATTAAAGATACTAATGTACTAAAGGCTTCAAGAAATCAGATGCTACAGAAATTTAACCAAACTAAGTAATCACGAGGTAAACTCCATATCTATTTATTTATGACTGGTTTTATTATAAAGACAATAAAAACACGAGGATTTGCTTCACAAGAGCTTATCTAGCCAGGCAAGAGGGTTACCTACTCCTGACCTTGTTCCATGTACTATGGTTGACAAAATTCCCTTCCTTCCCCCTCTCTTTTCCCCATCCCCTGTCAAACATTACACAGCGAGCCAGCTGTTGGACGATTACAGCACATCCCTTAGTGGCTTCGTTATTCGAACCTCAGGCGATTCAGTCACATTGTGGCTGGCTGAAGGAAGGAACTTTCGTCAACCATACTACTACGCTTCCCGCCTCTCGGCAAAATCAACAATTAGGATTTTCTTTTAGATAGGTGACAAAGCCCTGAGTAGCTGCTGTCTTATTACACCTAGTTATACTGTCCATGTCACCAAGGTTGAGTTTAGCCTTCATTTCCCTACACCAAGCACCTCAAGGGCTCCAAACCTGGTTAACGACTTAATTTTTTTACCTATGCCAAACATTAACCAATTACTTCTAATACAGCGGTTACATTCAGAAAACATCCAGGTGGGTCAAGGATAAGGAGGATATTGAAGCTTTATTCATGTTCCAATATAGATAGAAAACTTAAATCTTAACAGTCGTGCGTTCTTTACCCCTGGGTGTAAACCCACTAAAAAATTATTGGGCACCCGTGTCAAATTGTATCACACCGTAAGGGTGCCGAATAATTTGTTAGTGGGTGCAAGTCATTAGGGTACCGAACAACCTCCTTCCCCTTACGTCAAATTCCCCCACACAAAATCCGCCATCCTACACTCAGGACCAGCCACTCACCATGGAGTCTTGCGTGGTGTTCTGAAGAGTCGAGTCGTCCTGAGGAGGAGTGTACTGGTAGGCCACTTGGTCTGATTCACAGTATTCGCTGGCCACACACCATGACCCCCGGGGACATGCGTACTGGGGCATGGGTCGTGCTGCCCACGCCCCGCCGCCCGCACACATCACGGCCACCAACAACAGCATCTGAAAAGTGATGGTTAAAATCAGATCCAAAGATATTAGATCAAGTTCACTTATTTTCGACGGCAAAGTCATGAGAAACCTAATTTACTACATATGGAGGACACCAGCTTCCTCAGTTTGGTAATTACCCGCCATCAAATACCTTCGTGTTAAGAACTTTATTCTACAGAAACTCCTTACACTAAGATAAGTTCATTTCAAAGGAGCAATGGAAATAGTTCCCTGGCGACCTCGACAAGAAACTAAACGCTCCTTACTGAACTGCCAACAGCAGGGGGCCACAGGTCTCCTTACCCTGCGCGTGCCTATTTTTTCTTGTTTAAGTCCTGGCTGCCGGTGGTAGCCATTTCGTAGTATTTACCGAACACCCGCAAGTTTCAACAATCTATAAGACCGCAAAATTGCCGATATGGCTGGGCACTATTCATTTCATTCAGTAGAAGACAGGTATGACGGAAAGCGATTCTCTTGTCAAATACAGACAGCAAGAGGGACAAAAAGATAATGGTTCCTAATGACTCTGGTCCCCCCCCCCCCCAGAGCTTCCTTTACCAAACTTGCCTGCTGTAGATAGGAAATTCTTCGGTACTGCACAAATTCAGGCAACGCAAATTTAAGTTTCAGATTCAATGTGCTATTTGGTGACTTTAGGCGGTGTCCTGTCTGGCCTGGGTTTGGCCCGAGTACCGTAAAAATATCCACAAGTTTTTCTACAGAAGCAATCCTTAAATGGTAAGGTGTGGTACAGTACAACCATGAGGCGCGGGTCTAGGAAAGGCAGATGGGGTTTTTATATTTTAAGTGGTGGTGGTGCCGCCAAGGTGTAAACACTATTGATATGGGGAAGCTACCAGTGATGAACGAGGCGGGCAGGCACGTGGGCTATTATGACCCACTGCTTTAAATGGTTTGTTTACCTAAAAATGGCTAAGGACGAAAAACAGGAGGGGGGGGGGTTGTGCTGGGTTTTATGACAAATCTTTGAACATTCACAATCTTTAGTTTTCTTCAGGTTTCGAATTAGTGGATAATTTTACTCATCGATGGTGCGGCGAGAACATGTGGCGGACTTGGACCACCACACAGACGGTGACGATACGTGTAGATTCACTAACGACAAATCCCGGGTTTTACTGTTAAGTATGAAGGTCCTCTCCTAGCAGCGATTAGTCTAGTTTGTGTATTAGTTCCTGTCGAGGATGGGAGCCACGTTGTGCGTTTTATCAGTTACTTGGGCGTTTGCTGCGTACGGTCACCGGCTTAAAATCTTACTACCCGCACGCCCATCAGCACGCCCGCACGCCCATCAGCACGCCCGCACGCCCATCAGCTCCTTAACGTCCAGGCAGAATCTTCCACACGCTTGTTCCCCGCCCCGATTTACACGAAGCAATTACTACTGAAACGGTAGTTTTACCCATTTTAACTAGCGAGATAATTAGTTCAACCAGGTATTCCACGCCCTAACAAAAAAAAGTACTGCAGAGTAAAACTTAAACGACCCAATTTTTGTTTCGACTTTACTACCGAACTAATGACTGACAAGTAAATTAACCTCAGGTTTGTTTTTTGTTCATGTCGGGGAGAAGGGCTCACCATCTATTAGAGGTCAGGCAAAACTACATCTAAGGACTACCTTCATTCCCCTGCATGGTACGCACAGTTTCAACACGAGTCTCCCTTATTTCTTTCCCCTTACTCGACAACGCATCTAGTGTAAATTCCTTCGTCACTCTGGCTGTCATCATCACCCTGGAACTAAAGTCTAGACTTACGTGCTTATTCTCAGGTAAAGGGAACAACTTCGCTTGGGTGCCTGCCTGTCCCTCCTTCACCCTCCCAATCTCTCACCAACACTTTTGTCCCCCCACCTCCTATTACTCCTTCCCAGTATCTTTCCCTTCAATCTCTGCTTCTCTCAACATCCCCGAATGAATCTTGGCAAAAAAAAAAGCACGGAAAAAACCTACCTAACTTAACCTACGTGCAATGCCATCATATTATATATTGTGTTGTCAGTGTACAAGTCGTGTGACTTTTTCCTTTGACTATTTCCGTTCACCCCCTCCCCCCCGAACACACCCACCAATACCTATTGGATATTTACTTCCTATTTCACACTAATTATTGCCAGTTTGCATACCAAGACCAACACCACGTAACTTTACAACTATGTTAGGGATCCTGTAGCACAAGTCAGGTTTTCATTTACCCAACTATTTTACGGGATGGCGGCCATCGATTTCACCCGAATTTTCCCCAATTAAATATGGAGATTTTTCTCTCCCAGAACTCCCAGTGACAGGAAGGTTTTCAAGTGGTAAAATCCGGGTATTTACGGAACAATTTCCATCAGTCCCTTAATCGCCTTAATTCCAGTGCCAAAATATACCTTTATCCTATCGAGTTATTATTAAGCCAAGTGTTCCGTTTCCTTTTATAACCCGGGATAATACATATTGGTTATCCAGGTGGTGGGGGACAATGGTGATGGGACCCTTTGATTGGTCTGTCCCGGCCAGCCAGTCAAGTCTCTCCCAACACCTGCCTTGGAGGAATGTTTCAGTACATACACAAGCACCAACACCCCCTCCCCCAGAGCCATCCCACACCAACACACCCCCCTCCCCCCAGAGCCACCCCAAACACACCCCCCTCCCCCACCAACACCCCCTTCCCCACAGCCTCCCGCACCAACACCCCCTCCCACCAACATCTCAAGACCACACTAATTCGCTCATAATTGCCTGTCCATCTTTCCCTCGGTCTTCCTGTGCCGACAGCGAGGTTATAACAAGTCTTCTAACCCTTCTTATACACTACTGTACGCGGGCCCCCCTTCCTCACCCATTGGCTCCCTCATAACACATCGAAAAAGATGCCCAGCTTCGAATATATTTTCATTTAAAAAATCTGGGTATTTTTTCAAGGACAGCCACTGTCCACTTCTACCCCAAATTACTGAACATAATGTAAGGATTATAATCTTATCACATGTTAATTAGAGCCTTTGACTACTACTGACCAACCTTGAAAATTATCAGGTGGGGGAAATAAGGTGGACGTGGTAATTGGAGGAACATTTGACGCGAGGAAGGAGACCGGGTACTATGTTGAGTGAAAGGGACTAAGGCTTCGCTGCGGTAATGTAGTGCTGAATGCATTAGCGTCTAGAGGAAATTAAGATATTGTTACATAGATGGTGTTGGAATTAAATTAATTCTGATCTACTTAAGTTATTTAACAATTAAAATGACAGCCTCATCAGCGCTACCGTCATCCCGGGAGCGCCTGCAGGTACAGCCAGTAGCAGCAGTGTGGGCGTGGCTGGTGTGACCCAACCCTCACCCACAGTCCCTGGCGCCCCTCCTTCCTCATCACCGCCAGCCACCGCCTTAATTACTAGCCCGGGTAATTAAACAATTCCACCGCCGCTCTTGCTGTACATCCTGGCTAACGTGTTGGACGATGGTCAGGCCCGCCGCTGACCACCCACACGTCCCCACCACCGCCCTCTCGTCCTAATTCTAGGGTAGCGGAGGTGGCAGACGCGGCAGACGCTGCAGAAGTCCCGAGTTTATGGCCACGTGTGGTAATTGTAGGAGGGAAGGATCTCCGTCAAGATGAAATTCTTAGTCGAGGCACCACAATTATTAACAGTTGGTGGCGGCTGTGACGGAGGTCTGGGTTTATTACATCACGCTAACATTAACCACTCGAGTACGACGGCATTAATAAACTGGTGTACATAATATCTTGCTATGGTGTATAATGTTCATAAACCAGGGCAAGATACAGTCGGGTAGGAAACTGTACTAAGCAAGGACAAGTCATGGCGGGTCACAGAACACGAGAGAACAAGTGGATATAAAAATACCTAACGCTAACCTAAACAACATTAACCTTAACTAGTCTAATCTGACCTTAGCTAAACCTAACCTTACAGGCAGCGTTGGGGTATCTAACTCCATGGGACAATACTAGTTGATCATTTTAGTGCTCGCGAGTGAATGAGCGAGGAGTCCGCCATCAATTGTTTATTGCTCGTTAGTGCCTGTGTAATGTAATATGGTAACTGTACAGTACAGTAATTAAATGGCTAACACATGAAATTGTATTTTCGAGTGGATGCAAGACAAAGACAACACCAAAATAAAGAATGAATGGACAAGACCGAATCCTCTCGTCACCTGGCAACATATGGCACAAGGCAGGGAGGAATAATGAAAAATTCTACATTTACCCGCTTTTCGTTATATTCTTTCTTTCCTACTCTTTTTTTATATTGTACAATGGTCACCAGTTACTGCATAAACCCGTCATACGAATCTTAAATTAGCTGTCATATGAAGTGTCTTGGGTAATTTTGTTTGCAATCTTAAAAAACGACAATATATCGTAGAAAGCAGCAGCAGCAGGCGAATCTTAATACACGTAAATAAACCCCAATTTACATATATAATAAGTGATCAAAGCTACGATTCGGATTTTAATTTGCAGCAGGTTAAAGATACGAGGATAACGCCATTGTTAAAGGCATCAAGAAATACCAGACCTATTCCAACCCATTCAAAATGTATAGCACTATTACACTACCAATTATGAGGTTTAAATTTTATGCGGAATGAGTAAATGATTGTCATGCTTCAGCATTAACTTGTAAACCCATTAATTAACCGTTATTCCGAGAGTGACAACTGTAGATGAAATCACTAGATCCTTATAATTATTTCATGTACCTCATTCATTACTATTAATGTGAAACAAGTGCAAGAAATTTAAGGTACGGTATTTGAATGGTCATGTCAGCGATTTTTCTTCAAGAAACGGACAGTTTAAACTAGATATTTCGGGTGGTTTGTTTTTCTTCCCGGTAAAAATGTTCTCTATAGAACAATTATGGGTAGCAGATAATTGTAGTTCAGGGAAACCCGTTTATACCGCAGTTCAGTCGTTCCTTTTCCATATAACGATGGGAGCAAGACAAGACATTTGCTTTACCAGGAACATACATCAACAATGTTCCCAAACAATGTACAGCACAAAGGCGGAAGTAAAACCCCAAACAACTCTTACCAAAGTTCTTGGTCACAACTGATTTACTAAAGCTTTTGTCCAGATCACAACTTTCATCCACTCGATCAAAAGTGTACTGTAGACCAACTTAAAATCTCGGATCAAAAGTTAACCAATAAGTAGTATAAATTCCCTCTTACCAATACCACAAATACCGTGTAATACTCTAAATGGGGATTCATTATCTTAACAGGATTATAGTAATTTAACGCATTTGTATTTTATATTCTACCTTCATGAACGCTCACAACTTGATCGTTCCGGTCACTAACACGCCAACCTCTCTTACTCCAATCAAGGTGTTAAGGCGAGGATTTTAATATAATGACCACCTTTAGGTTTATTAGTCCCATCTGCACCCCGATTATTCAACATCTCAAATGAGGCGCCGGAAAGCCTCCCAGATACGATAGCCGCCTCGCTCGGAATAGGTTCGGCAAGGTCAAAACATCTGCGAGAAAGCCCAAGTGATATACACAACACTTTTTATTCTGGTTCTTATACTACTACGACTAATGCAGTTTCCAAGCGATGTATATTAAAAAAAACTGACAAAGTAAAAAGATTATGCTTCTGTGGCAGTTCTACGGCCAAACGACCCAGACGAGGTTAAGAACTGATAAGCCAGTCTTCCACTAAACCCAGAAATTTCTTTACAACTAAAATTAGAATTAAAACAAAACCTTGTAGTAAGGGAGAAAAGCGATTCCGTTTCAGACATACTTCATAAACAGCGAAATCGAGCCAACACTAGTACAAATTATTCAGCTTTTCCATTTATAATTTTTTATTTCAGCAAGACCAACAATGATTTAGGAGAACCACATCATTCATACATCGCTGCGTGGATTTAATAATGAATGGGCAAATGTGCATTTAACCTACAAAATATTCAATCCCTTCGTACTATCTGCAGGGCTTCTAAACGACACCACAGCTTCTCTGGTTTGAGTTATACGAGGAAGTGAATCGTCATTAAAATACACGACCTTAATGGAGTCTTGTTATTACCTGCTGCACTTACACCAAAACAAGAATTCAATGATTTTGCTAGATCCCAACTAATGTGATTTGTTTATTTGAATTAATCTTTTTATATCCCAGTAAGCCACAACTACCTGATCTACGAGATGGATAAAGCACGTCTAACAAAACGCTTTTAACCTTTTATAACCTCCCGCCTCTACACGAAGCTACAACAACGTTACAATTTCCAACATAATTAACTTCGTTATACAAACTGACAAATAAGTTTGTTCCCATTACGTATAATTTCACAATTTGAAAGGTTACAGACAATTACCAGTAATTACGACAGCATATTCAAGTATGGGTTTTAATACAATACTGTACAGTATACTCTGGACCAGTTCTGACAAGGTGTGGCAGGTGATATTTTAGGTCACAGTACGTGTCCGTGTGACCCTAGTCCAGGAGTGGACCATGAGGCCACTATCCCAGGCACACCCTCCCCACCCCCCCCTTAACACGGATCGTATTTAAATTTCAGTGTGCTATGACGTTTCCCAAAACATAATTACCAGGGCAAGAAGCGCTATAAAATAAACCAGGTCAATACTGAGGCGTCGACACTAAAAAACATCCTACAAATTAAAGACTTGACCAATACTCACTTAATCTGCTCTAGTCCAATACATGAATATTTACAACTCTGGGACGGAAGGAGGCCACGTGCTATGTTCCCTGACCGCCAGACACTAAACTTCGGGGATATAGTCTAACAGCTTCCCTCACCAACTATGCTATATTCAGAACTCAAAGAAAGAAACTTATCAGAACTAACAGTCTTTAGCCAAAACGAGTTTTGAAATTATTCAGGACGATGTAAGAACGCGGTGACCTGCTCTGGTGATTAAGGACGTCGAACAATTCAGCAGAAACGAAGAAAGTTTCGGTAAATTTCATTAATGCTCGGTTTCATCCCCAAGAGCCGCGTGCCTCAGGAAGTGTGACCATGAGGCTTCATAATTTATTTCCACTCCAAAACCCAAGACTAGCAATTCAATTCTTACCAGACCCTTGAGTACAAGCACGACGAGCTGCACTAAATACCCAGGTTTTAATGAAAAAAATATCCATTGAAGGAGCAAAACTCGGCAAACCACAACCAACCAAACCTCGACCCACAAGACTTAATTTTACAAAATTAGAAAATGTTACTTTTGATTTTGTGGGAAACATTTTCAAACTTGCTACACTGGACGACTTCATTAAACACGAGATGGAGTTCCCTACAAAATTGATGATTTAGAGAAATTGACCGACAGTTTTACATCGAAATTAATGTTACATAAAAGTCACTGTTGGACGATGTCTTTACTAATGTCCTGAATCACGGAAGTTGTCGGCGACAATGAACTTAAAAATCACAATCCCAAATTGAACTTTGCTATCTTGGTACTTTTACAAATCCATTGTTTTTTTTTCTTTTAGGCGTCGAAATATATTGCTGGACAAAATCTAGCAAAATACAGTCAATGGTCCCCCCCATTAGCCACTGCCTACGCATCCTCAGCGAAAAAAAATTGACTTCATCAGAAACTAACCACCGAGTAATGCTAGTGCGAATTTCAAATAGTTTGTCTTCACACCTGTTTCTCCTGGGTTGGCTTACTTGTCTAGAAACCAAGATAAATGACTGGAAAAATACAATGGTGGAGGCAAATATGGTTACCAATGGTTTCTGCAACAGCTCAGAACAGTTACGAGGAGAATTAAGATAAATGTTTAGTTCCGCCACGTTACGGGATCTTCAGGGCTTTAATGTATATAATAAAACTCCGGCGAGGGAAATAAGTACGGGAAGAAACGAACTAAAAACTAACGATCCTTGGCTAGTTAGGTTAGAAAGTGGCCAACGACTTCTATATGCCCCCCGGTGGGGGGGTGGGAGGAGGGGGCTCCCGTTAGGTTAGGTCGTTTCTGCCAGGAAGACTAAATAGAAGAAAAGGGTCCTAGAATTGTCTAACCTACCGACTCCAACAGTTATATTCCTAAGATTCCCCTGATGACCGACCAAACTTATCGGCTTGTGGTCTGCTTTAATGTTTTCCTATGCTTCAAAAATACACTATTGTTTGCCTTAAAATGAGTGAATGTCTCAATAAATTTAATGTACGACTGAACTTTACTCCATATTATACACCACCCGCCAAGGTGCAGGTCGACCCCTGTTGGACTGAAGAGACAAGTCTAGTTAAATAAAATAAATAAATAAATATATAGTTTGACAAAATTGCAGTTTCGGCCAATATGCCCTAGTAGTTGAGAAATTAGATTATCCTGTATTTTAGGGCGATTTAATCGAATTTGACCTTTATTTCTGGGGAAAGTACCCGCTTTAAAGTTTACCCCCCACCAAAAAAAAAAAAGTATGGGAGAACACTCTTTGCCCGCTGGTTGAAATGGGGTTATAAATACTCCAGAAAAGGATCTCTATAGGTTGAGGATGGTTAAAACAGATGGTCGTGTAATGACCGAATGCAATAATACCAATAGTTTACTTAGGCGCACTACCATAGCTTAGAGCTTGCTCACATGAATTATTTTACAAATTTATTGTGATGTATATAATGATCACACAACCAGCCGTAGAGTCTTGACAAAAAATCACAAGGTCAGTTCGGTTGATGGTTCAAACGAAATTCCAGCCGACGGTGAGGGAGCGAAGGGTTTTTGACACCCCCCCCCCTCCCTTAGTAAATTTAAAGGAATTACTTCGTGGTTTCGATATCTGATCATTTACAAGAATTACATTTAATTAACAATTACAATGTACAAACACCTCAGAACTGTTACCTTAGTGGCGCCCATCTTCACATTACCAAATACTGTTCAGGTGATAGAAGAAGTGATATTACTGTGTACTGTATTAAGTACTGCCCAGGTGTTCGAAAGCGTCTTTAGAACATCACAAAAGACGACTACCTGCATCAGATTACAAGGAATTTCTTCGACTACGTGTCTCGTCCCGATTGAAAACGAAGCCTCAAACACCATTAAGTACAGAGTTACGGCGGAGTAAACTAACACAAACCTTTTAAAAGTAATTCAGGTACGGGAGAGTAATTTAGACACCGATAAAATGTAAGAATTCCTGTCTGCTCGTCCATATACAAATTTAATTACATACCTAGTTCCAAGTTAAGTGCCCTTCCTTAAAAAAAATAAAATCCCGGTGAAATGAAAAATTCCTACAAAGCCCCTACGAGAACCTTACCATGTTCCTGACGCTCCCTACAGCAGCAGCGAGACGTCCTCCACACACAACAACCACACCTGGTCACCTCCGTCTTTTTTTCCTTCAGTAAACGCTGGATGCACACCTTAGCCTTACTGGTTGAAAGATTCCTTAATTAGCCCCACAAAATGTGTGAAGGCCGAGAACGAGTGAGACCTGAAGGGTACCGCTGGGCTGAACTGACTGACGATTTCACCACCACACCGCCGACGACTGGTAGGCTACCCCCCCCCCCCTCCACCCTATAGTTGTATCACCTAACTGCGAAGTTCGGTAGTTTCAAATCATGCATGCAAAAGGGTTATTTTCTGTAGTATTGAGACGCAGCTATGACCCGTAATAGCGGTGTTGATGTGTGTTTAATAGCCAAATGGTCGACGTATAGTTCCCATGTATATAAATACAGTAGATAAGACTCTTTGCGGTTTAATGAGTTAATTGGCCGCCTCAAAAAATTGTCTCCTTTAGAATTTAATGGTAAGATGCTGATGGATGGGATAATTTACTCATTTTTTATTAACGCCATAAAACTGACAGTGTTATATATAGGCGAGCGTTATACACCACACAGGTGAGGAAGAGGAACATCCCGAGCGACAAGTGTGTGTGTGTGTGTGTGTGTCAGGTGGCCGAGGAAGAGCAGCATATATAAATAACCATCTTCCTTTTGTTTTAATGAATTGTAATGTAAGTACTAGAGACTTCCTGATGGACACATCTTGTACTCAATCACTACATGAGTACACTGTAAAGAGAGTCTCTGATGTATACAACTTGTACTCAATCACTACATGAGTACACTGAAAGAGACTCTCTGATGTACACAACTTGTACTCAATCACATGAGTACAGTATAAACCAGTATGTATGACTGTTCCTCACTCCGTATATAAACAAGACGCCATATTGTCCCTTCTACACCTGATGGCAGTTAATATTTGACCCTTATATAAAGCATCTATAAATTTCTCGTTATATTTACAAATCAAAGACTATTTTTGGCCAATAAATATACATCATGTGTGATAATGTCGCTATATAAATACGTGTTACTGTCCTAATATAAATACGTGTTACCATATAGCTACATAAATACGTGTTATTACGTTGCTATATAATAAAACACGTTACCGCATCGCTATAAGACGACAACTGAAATATACAGTAATGAAACACCTTAAATAACACACGTATATATCCTTCCTCACGTAAACAATTATATAAACATTTTGTGAGATGTGAGATGACGGGCTGGGATTAATGGCTGTGTTTAGTTAAGAGGAAGTCGAACATTACCCGTAATTACCAGTAGATCTTTAAGAGGGTCAGATTCCACAAGACGCTGAGCTTCGTCGTATCTGATGAGGCGGAGGATCGTGCCGGTAGGATCTGATTCCAATGACGATGGAAGATAAGGGACGAAATTCCATGGCTTCGTGTTTAAACCCTCTATGCTTGTAGTATCAGGACTTAATTTGGATCAGCTGAAGAATCTCCACCCCAGCTTATTTCATCTAAAGGCTAACCATCTTAACGCTATTTGAGGAGATGAGGTTAGGTTTAAGTTAAGTTAGGTTAGGTTAATCATTAGTTGAAATAAGTTGGGGTGGACATAATTCAGGTCATCCATCAACCCCTTTTTAAGTTTTAAATAGCGTGATATGTCTTGGCCAGGTGAAGGACATCCTGTATCCTGCCTCTATCACGTCGTGGACGACAACTGTAACACTGGGGCGTCCTTATGTGTGATAAGGGTCGCACTCCCGGCATCTGGATCTAACACATTGTAATAAATCTTTAAACCATACACTTGAACACTATATCATTGAATGTGACACTGTCAAAGACTTCAGGCCACCTGGCTTATTGTATCATGAACTTTGTAATTACTATATTGAATCGGGGGTGCTTGGGGACATTCTTGCTGTTTATCCCAAATTTGCTAGCCCATACTGATTGGTCTTCAATTAGAATATGACGTCCAATGTAGTATATGAACCACTGTCTTGCATGGCAGCGAACAGTGACATCACCCACATAACTCTGAACTATATATATACTGCTAATGAATATGATGCATTTCTTTGTGTACGAACCTCTGTCCTGCATGGCAGTGAACAGTGACATTACCCACATGAATCTGACCTATATATATATATATATATATATATATATATATATATATATTAATGAATATGATGTATTTCTTTGTGTATGAACCTCTGTCTTGCGTGACAGTGAGAAGTGATACCACCCTCGTGTCAAGACCTGACTGAATTACTCAGAATAGGCAAACTGTACTCCAAGCTTTACCAATAAATTTGTTGAATAAAAAAAACTAAGACTCCACACCCCAGGGAGTTGAGTCTTCCCAAGGCTTGACTCCCTCCTAGAGTCATACATAAACAAACAAGGATGACCAGGAATTACTCATAAGCTGCTCTTGCGAGGAGTGTAAAATTCCCCACTTTCACTCCAAAACTTCTCTCTCAGTCACTAACTCATTCATAGAGCTGACAAATGAAGTTAAAAATGCTTGTGCCAATGGGAGGTGGATCTGTTGTGGTGTATCAGATCTTGTTTGATGTTGTAAATGTTGGGAAAATTTGTCTTCTCTCTCTATCCCAAAAAGTTGAGGCATGCGTCGTTTTATGAGTTAGTTCAGCGGTTCTCAATTAGTGTCAAATTACCCCTAAGAGGGTAATTTGACATTTTTGGGGGTAACGACAGCCCATGAGATATAGCGATATTTGTCCTGCTTCTTGATGCCATACACAACCACATTCGAGCAAAGACTACGCTCCTGCTCGGTTGGGTGGCGGGCACTGGTAAACACAGCTGTGAGTGCTAGCTCCCAAATTTGGATGTTTTCGAGCCTATTATCTTATCTGAAGGATATATAGATTTACCTACTTGTGTATAAGGACCTGAGGATAAAATAAGTATCGTCAAGCAACTTTGGTGTTGGGAACTTACTGTTTACCACACGAAAATAACTGCTCGGGGTCCCATCACTCCTGGCTGGGTGTTGTGGGATGTCAACATTGCCCCATGGAAAGTGAATTATCGCTTAAGAACTCCACATGGAAGAGTAAAGAAAAGATAGTATTGGACGAAGTTCTTGAAGACCTTGAGTTGAGGAGTGATGAGTCTAATACGAGTGATGAAGCACAAGGGAAGCTCGAAAGTGAGAAAATACAGCTACAACAAGAGGTAGTGAAAAAGAAAGAAATTTCTAAAAGGATGAGGGAGACAAGCTGGCAAGAGGACAGTGAAAGCGGAGAAGTGAGAGAGGAGAAGAGACAAAAAAATCTAGGACAAAAAAACGTGTGTGGGTGGTAATAATAATGGAAATAACAGAAAGGAGATAGTGGAGAATGGATCAAGAACAGAGCAAAGTATGGAATTTGAAGGAAGCAGACAAGAACACACACAAGGTAATGTTGGTCGTGTCAGGTAGAGATTAATTTTTCCACAGTCATGCCCGATGACCTTCCTTGAAAAATTAAAATGGGCAGTACAACTAGGACGGGAGCATCGCAGCTTTGAGCCTCTTTTGAAAGAAGGCACACACAAGCCTTGTCTTACAGTGGGGACCATGGAGGCTGTGGAATTGTTGACAACTGTTGGGTACAAGGGATTACTGATGGTTTTGCCAGAGGAGAGCAACATACTACTTACAAAGGTTATAATCTTCAGGTACCCTGTAATACTAGATCCAGAATACTTATTGGATGACGAAAGATTTGTTTGCGTCAAGAGGCATTTAATAAGGGGCGAAGAGAGAAGCCAGGTTATTGCTCTAATGAGAGGAAAGGTTCCAGAGAAAGTGTTCATCACAGGAGCAGGGTATAGGAAGGTGGCACTATATGTGGAGGGACCAATAATGTGTCTCAAGTGTTGCAGATGGGGACATAAGGCCTGGGGCTGTCAACTGGACCCACGTTGTAGATTCTGTGAAAAGAAGCACGAATCTAGCAACTGTAAGGACAAGATCAATGCAGGAGAGAAAGTGAAGCCTTGTTGTTGTAATTGTGGTAAAACTCACAATGCTAGTTCAATTGCATGCGAGATGAGGCCACGTATGAGAAGTGACCAACAAAGGAATTATTCAGAGAACACTGAAGAAGTACGCTGTGGTCTGGCAGTGACAAGACAGCAGGAGAACACACAGACAATGGAGACAGTGATCCCTGAGAATGCCTGGCATGAAGATTCAAGAAGGATAAGGACTGCACTTGCGGCCGGAAGAGTTGCTGATGCCAGGAACAAACAGAGTAATAAACAAGTAGCAAGTGAGAGTAGTGGTGCAGCCCTCCAGGTTAGTGATAAAACTGTGCAAGAAATTCTGGGAGAAGAGGTGCGTAAGATGTTTCAGCTTTTGCAAAAGTTAGGTCAGAAAATAGAAGTGATAGAGAAAAGACTTGATACAGTGATAAATAAAGAAAGGGAAAACAAAGCTGTGAATAATGTAGAATTAGAAGGGAAAGAGGAAAGTGAAGAGCTCAAGCTTTTGAAAAATTCAGTGCATAAAATAAGTATTAAAGGGAAGGAGAGGAAAATAAAGGATTGTGTAGTGCAGGGAGCAACAACTGAAAGTTTTAAAAATGTGTTGGTAAAGTGTAAAGATGCTGATAAAGAAAAACTTATGAGGAAATGGGAATCTGTGCAGGAGGATTGGGCCTTCTTAAAGAATCTGATTGGAAAGGATATAAAATGTGTAAATATTAATCTTGGATCTAGCTAGCCTTTAGATAATGTCCTGGAATGTTAATGGTCTACGAAATAGAGTGACAGATGTACACTACTTTACCCTTAAAAATAATATTGACATAATTACCCTTCAAGAGACTGGGGACAGGAAAGGCGACCTGCTTAAACTGTCTGGATATAAGGGATTTCATCTGTATTCGGGTGAAGGTATAAGAGGGGTCTCAACATACATTAAGAATTCCATACCAGCAGAACTAGTTGGAAGCCCGAGTAGAGTACAAGGAATAGAAAGTGTCTGTATAAAGTTATATTTGAAGGAAGGAGAATTGAACATAGCAAATTTGTATATTTCTGGAGGCTGTTTTGACCTCAACTTCTTACCAGATTGCATGTTTTTGGACTCAACTTTGGCTGTAGGAGATTTTAATGCTCGACATCCAAGACTCGAAACAATGG